GCTACCTTGTAGCATGTTGCAGCTCACAAAAAATCAGTAACAGGCCGAAACACTTTTTTATTTTCAGGGCGTAACTGGGCCAAATATCATTCAAACGAAAAATCCATTAAAAATGCATAAGTACTTGAGGTACCAATCAATCCTATTAAGTTTCAGTCAAATTGCATTAGTAGTATTAGAGTAGTAATCTAGGCAAAACTTTAAAAATAAAAAATAATTGAAGGGCTATAACTCTGTCTAAAAATGGAAAATGGTGATTATATGCAAAACTTAACTTGGTTCTGATCATTCCTGCAAAGTTTGGATGAAATTGCATCAGTAATTTTAAAGTCTGCACAAGATTTCTTATGGACAGACAGGTGAAGAAGAACTGATCTCTATATTTGTAGCATGTTATCATCTATTTAGTAAGAATCATTTACAGGCAAAATCCCCTTTTTTCATGCAAGGGCCGTAACTCAGCCAAAAATCATTCACCTAGAAAACCCTTTGAATATAAACAAGAACTTGAGGTACATATCAATCCTGTAAAGTTTCATTCAAATTGCATGAGTGGAGAAGTAGTCCGAACCAACAAAGAAGTGCAGTCTGATGGCTTCTGTAGATTTTAACACATAGGCGTCTACAATATTCTGCCAAGAAAAATTTGAGCCCCTGCAAGAAATACACTCAAATGCAACTGTGGAGTGCTTATATTTATATTTTGTCAAATGCAATCACTTTACTGGCCAGTATCTATTTGTCATTTTAAATTACACCAAAAGAAAACAATAATTTCATGTAAATTCTCCCAGTGTTTGCCCGGGCCAATTGAATCATCAGTTTATAGGACAAGTATAATTGCCACACGTCAGACAATTTCAACACTCCTAAAGTCTGATTAAATTGGTTTTCATTTAAAATATTGTCATATTTGCCCCCGAAACCGTCAAGGGGAAAAGTTGCTTTTTTCATTTGATCAAAACCACTAACAAAAAGATTTCTCAGAAAATTAACCATATCATTTTTTTGTGTAATGACGCTGCTAAGATGAGGCCCTTTTTTAAAAAATTTAAATTTTTGTTGAAGCTTTAGTCAATTTTTATGCTCATATCAAGTAGACAACCAAGCAGACTTTTGAAACCCCCTCACCACTTAATTTTTTATAAAAACTTTTCCCAAATATAAAAAAAGAAAAATGTTATTTTTTTTTAGGTATTCCAGTTTCCCAAAAATTTAAAGCCCAAAAATGTACCTTTGGTTATATAGTACAGATATGAAGGCTGGCCAGACTTTATACTGGTAGCATGACTTGTTTGGTGTTGGGGTTTTAATTTCCACCCTAAAAGGTTATAAACAAATTTATTTCAATGTTCATGTATTGCTAGTCATCTATTATGTTACTTTAATCAATAAATTTAACCAGTATTCATTTCATTCTGCTTTTAAACAATATTTTCTTTAAAGTAAATCAACTAGAAATGAGTACAAAAGCACCGAATGCAATGCCAACTCATATGTCAAGGGCAACCACTAAAAATATAATTTATCTTTAAAGGAAAGCATCTCACACTTTTCACAACAATAAACACTTTTGGTGCAACTTTTTGGACTGGGAGTTTCTGTCGTAAAATAAGTGCAAGAAAATCCTAATTAACACTGGGAAATATAATTAAAATAACCTTGAATTTCACACAAAAACATTGTTGTAATCCAAGTCCTATCTTTTCTTATTTAACAAAAGTTCAAAGACTTTTGCAAAGAATAAACAAATACCCTCCCAAATACAGGGTAAATTTGGCCTTTTCCCTTGGAACAAAAAGTATAAGGGAAGTTTGTTTTATGAAAAGAATTCAAAATTACTTGTCAAAAAACAACCCCAAAATCCAACAAACTTTCACTGTAGTTGCTTACCCAAATTTTAACTATGTTCTGAGTTAGACCCCATTTTTTTACATACAAATTATGAAATTTTTAAATTCAAAGCATCTGACACCATAAAAAACAAAGAATTTAAAATGGCTCTTAATTTCAATTAAATGTCTGAATAAGTTTACAACAAATTTTGATATTTTCCCTAAAAAAAAAAACCAACTCCCTTGTATAAGAAGGGCATTACTCTGTAAGAAAAAGTGTAACTCAGTGTTACAGAACCTGTGCCTTTCATGTTAAATAATCACAGGGAAAAATAATGTGTTAAGTTTCAACTATTCCCTTTTAAATTTTTTGGGCTTTTGGAAACTAACTGTCAGCCAACACAGAACCCCCGGATGAGTACAGTCTTTTCCCCCATTTTTTGAATATTTTTAACCTAATAGGCTTTGTTTTAAAAAACTTATCTAACATGATTCACTTTATTTATTTTAAAAAATTACTTTTTTTCTTTTTGTAAAAATAAAACCAAAGACAAAAACATCACAAAACATACATAAATTTCTCGATAAATTTCCCATGCCCGACTGCTTTTGAGACTGCATCATTTTTTAAGAGTGTAAATAAAATTGTTGCACTTGAATAATTTATCAATTTTAAAAAAACAAAATTTTCATAATGTTCCCTTTTTAAATAAAATTTCAATGTTATTCATTTTTGAACAAGGGAAGTAATTTAAATAAAAACTTTCCAAATAAGCTTAACTGAGTAACTTCCCATTAATTTTCATTTATTCTTAAAAATTTGCCGGTGCAATATTTATTACCATTCCTATTGTAATCCTTATTTAAGAAATATTGAAGTTTTGATTGTAGAAGGTTACTCAAAATTTGAGAAAAAAAAATCTTATAATCACTTTATTGTAAGCAATATTAATTATTAATTTTGTTGAAAATTAGTTGACAAAAAAGTGGTATACAGTGCAAAATTGTGCAATATTTGACATATTTAATTATTTTGTTTTCTTGCCTTACTTAAAAAGTATGACCCAGATATTGTGTACATGTCCAATTCCATATTTAAAAAAAAAAAAGATAGCGTATAATAGTAACCAAAATGGCTTCATCAAGAAAGGAGAAAGGTTTTTGATACAAATTTACCAAAAAGAAGAAAGAAATGTATTAATTAAAGAATCTGAAACAAATCCAGACAGTATCTATAGAAATATACAAATTTTAAAGTTCAAAATAAGACATTCTGACATTTTGAAGTCAAGCATTGCTTTCTGATATTGGGTAACTGACAGTCTTCAACTTACCCGTATGCAGGGAAGTCCAACTTATTGTACTACACATTGAAATATTGTGCTATTTTGTGTATAGGCATATCTCCCTGCAAGATTCTGACCCCAAACAAAATATCTTAGGATGTAGCTTTGGCATGTCAAAATATTTTGACAAGCAAGCATGGATGCCATTAATTAACAGTATTACACTTTTCTGTATACCTGTAGGATGATTTTGGGCTCTGATGGAAGGGCTAAACCCTTTTTAAGCCTCCCTTCTTTTGTTAAACTTTCGCCACTTCTTCATGTTGGCCTCATCACTATTATACTGTGCTCCTCTTAGTTCACGGTACTTAATGCTTTGAAACCAGAAAGAAAACAACAAATGAAACTTATGGTACAAAAATTGTCATAAGCTATAACATAGTTACAGTGTAAAGGTATTTTCTGCTGTATTGCACATGGAAACAACAATATATTCAGTCAAATAATTAAGTCCATTTTAATGGACCAAACGTTGACCATATGTTGGCCATTTTGAAAACAGTATGTCATCATTTAAATCACAGTAATGGTGTTACATTTCGTTTTTTTTTCATGTTTCTACATGTTATTTTGCTTGATTTTAAATATTAGAATTATCCTTACTTTGTAACTCAAAATTTATTTTTTCAACACACAAGAACATTTAGAAAATGATGATTGTTTCAGACATACGCACATATTTAATGACTATTGTTGCTTTTGCAGAAATTTGTAAAATGTTGTTCTGTTTTACGTAAAAATCTAGAGATTTAAAATATTTTGCACAAAAATTTTTTGTATAGGTGTATGAATAAAATATGTTAATTCTGACTAATTTTAAGACAGGTCACATGAAAATATGCCATTACCGTGAAATAAGTGATGACGCGAAATTAGTGATGTCGAGTATACATTTATTTATATGCACATACATTGTATTCATTACAGTTTTCATTTTACACTACTGCATATTTTTACAGCTGAGCATAATCATTAATGGCAGGGGCGTAGCCAGCTTTTTTCAAGGGGGCCCAGATGCAAAAAACAAGCTCAGTTTAAAAAGAGCAAAACGCGCATTCCAAAGGATTTTCAAGGAAAATTATCAAAACAATAATGTTGAACTTTGAATTTGATTAGATGTAAACTTTACCGAGGACGGTTAATCATGCATAAGCCTAAAACACACTTGAATCGACCATACAGCCTGAACCTACTACCACCCTCACGTACCCCACCTGTTTTTATTGTTTTTAGGACTTTTGAAAATGTCAATTTCTTGAGCAACTTGTAGGCCCAGGCCTACATGGCCTAATAGCTATGCCACTGAATGGTACAGTTAAGATTTTACATGGTACTCTCTGGTCCAGTGTTGATAAAGTCTTTATTTTAAATTCATGAACGCTTTTTGAATTGTCTATTTGTAATTTTAGGCAAATTGTTCCACGTTTTGGAAAATGACACCATACATGTGAAAACTGATTCAAGCCACGAGTTAATCTGCTGCAAGGCATTTGCATTAATATTTACAAATTAATTTAAGCGGCACATTAGTCATGAAATGCCCGACAACTCGCGTGCAAAATTTATCAGTCAGTGAAAATAATTTTCGCTCCCTAAGTTGAAGTGTTTTGAATACGAAAAATCTATCTGAATTATTACACTGATAAACTAGAAGTTTGTGGGTAACTCTTGTAAGAAACTGATCCTCTTACTTACTATATGTGACCACAGCTTTTATGAATTAATGCCGTGCTAAAAAAATCTTGAAAATGAACCGAATGTGAAAGCGTCCACGCAGAACACATTCCCCCGCCAAACGTCAAAGTGCTCTATACTTATATCAACGATATCAACCGATGTATACCGAATGTAGCTAAGATGTTGCGTTCACGCCCCCTGTTGAAGTGAGAAAGTTAGAAACATGTCAGATTATTAAACAGGTGATTTAAAGTATTGATATAAAGAAAAGTTTAAAGGAATACATCTCATAGCATTAAAGGTAAATTGTAGATCTTTTTATCATTCAAGGTAAATCTGTAAATCACATTGTCATTAGAGAAGGAAGTTTTATGTGTTGTGTATAAAAGTGTACAGTGGCAGTGCAGTTGCAGAATTGCAGATAAATTTTATCTGTTTATCTAAACAAAATAATGAAATATTCACACAGAAGTCTACTTCTCATAAACTGTTTATGTAAACATACATGAGTAATTGGGACTTCAGAGTTAGTAGCTTTACCAAGGTAAAAGATGGTTCATGTTGATGTGCGTTCTGGGTTGATGCAGGTAGACTTGAATTTCTTTGAAATCATCAATGAAGTGACACAGGGGTAAGGCTCATTGAATGTTCCCAAAATATGTGTTTGACAGCTGAAAATGTTTATCCAAAGTCATAAATGAATTCTAAGTCCATTCCCATTTCACTTTATATATACTAAGTCTAATATGAAGACTTAATATTTTCGGCTATCAAACACATATTTTGTGAACAATCAATGAGATGAACCCCTGTGTGAACTGATGAATAAGAATGAAATATTTACAGTAGCCTTATCATAATAGTGCATGTTGTGATATTAAAATGTTCACATGTGTAAACATTAAAGAGAGATTTGTATATTTATAATAATTTTATTACCAATGAAATACATGTAATGATGTATATTATCTATCTATCTTGCAGAATTTTAATTATTGTGTCACACCAAAATTAATTCACAGTGCCCTGAAGATTTAGTATGAATATTTTGATGTGCCAACGCTAGCTATTGAGATATTTTTGTTCTGGATTCAGTGATTTTCCTGCTTATATCACAGTGATTATTTTCATTGTATTTTACAGCCGAATAAAGGCTAGCTGTTTCCCCTAGCCCAAAATAGGTATATTTTCCCCTAAAAATGCTAATATTTCCCCCTAAAATGCCTTGTGCTCTTCCTTACCAGAACCATGACTTAACAGCATCTAGAAGACAGAAATCTGTCACTATATATAGCCTATGCTATGTATCATGCATGTTTAATTGAATTGTTTTTTTTACATAAAATGTGTGGGTAAATTCCATTTTTAGTTGTTGGAATATGATTTCAGGTTTACCCCCTTTTCTGATTTATCGCGCTATATTTTCCCCTTCAGAAAGCCACAGGTTGTTTTGAAAATTAGAAAAAAAATCACTGTATCACATACTCCGAGAAAAGGCCTCTTCCCAATTGGAATTTTCTTTAAAATCATGAAGTTTTCCCAAAAATCTGAACTTAAACCTGCTTTTTTACTTCCCAAATTAGCAATTTTAGCGATAATTTATCCCAAAATCAAGAGGCTAAGGCCTCTTCCCAATTAAGTGAGAAAAATCTCTGGGATTAAAATCTGCTTCTAGAGGGGAGTCTGTCATATTGCCTTATACTGGAGATATTTGTTGAAAGTTATCAAACGGAATAGCATTATTATATTTTTTTGTTTGACCTTACTATAATGAGACAAAAAGTCAAAATTTTGTTCATTTGAAGCAATTATGTATACACCACACAACATACTTTATATACTTCAATTCATGTGATTTTATCTAAATGGAAAAATAGTGTTGAGTGTTTGGCTGATTTGATGATACAATGCATAACATATCGTGAGAGTCTAGCTATTTGTACTGCTGTAACTTAAAAACTAAATAGAGTATGTAATAACAGTATTGCAATTATCTTTCGATGTGTTACATACATGTATGATTAAATATCTTCTGATAAAACATTCTCAAAATGCCTGTGGATAATCACGTTTATTCATGAATAGTTTACTTTTCCATAATTAATGTCTATATATGTTCAAAATAATTTTTGATTGTGTGATGAAATTTTGGCATTGTGTCTATTAACATAATATGCCAATTATAGCTTCAAAGCCCTTTCAGTGGATCAGATAATGATATAATCGTCAAGGTCTTCATGGTGGTGAGTCGAGAGATTTTGACTTAGTAAAATTCACTGTTATCAAATACAAATGCCAGATCATGATATTCATAAATAACTAACCTTATTTTATTATTTCTAAATTCTATTGAAGATACAGAATACATCATGTTGATGCTTCATGTATAATACTGACCAACCAGTGCTATTGGATTGTCTATTTGTTTACATAAATCTTTAAAGTTTCTTTGTAACCTTCTTCTTTCTTCATAATTATTTACATTTTGATGGAGGCTCAAAGGGAAGACTGGGTTTGAGCTTACTATGTTGCCTCTTTAAATAAAGTCTTTACTATTATTTTTACATACTGGTATTTGAAGTTAATGTCATTGCTCATTATGTATTCATAAACATGAACATATATGATGAGAATCTTTGATTTAATATCTGTGTAAGATAACTAAAAGTGGCATGGTAATATTAGGCACTGTGATTAAGTGCCATCAATTTCCATGTCAATCTTTGTATCACATAATAACAGGTACTACATGTATAAGATTTCGTATAATATATGATGTATCCACTGATAAGCATACTTACAATTCTAACTTATGGAAGGTTATTAATTTACATAAGTTGTATAAAATCATGTGATACTATTTAGGAGCTAATGCTATACAATAGTCAATTTTTATCGTGAACACCACTACATTCCATGGGGAAAGGTTGGGGATAATAAATTGGCAGTCAAACCATTGGTTTTGATTTTTAGAGCTAAAATGGCACAGTAAAGGATTTTAAGATCTGACCATCCCCTTCCTGTATGATGCTTACCAGTCCAGGGTGTCTGAAATTTCAAGTCAAAGTCCATGCTATTCCATGTAGGGGTTACACTTGATTAATGATTACACCAATGTTTTGCTGATTAACATGATTTTACAAAATTTTCAGTCACGGAAATGTGATTTGAAGGCAGTGACCTAATCAATTCATGCATTGAGAATATTTTTTCTAACACTTAAAGATAAATTACAAGACTGAAACAGGGTTGCTTTAAGTCTACCTCTTTCAATTTAAATACAATGTAACTTTATCAGCCATGAAACTGATATTGATGATGATGTCAACAATAAACTAGCACTTATTATAACATTAAAACTTAGTGAATTTCTGAAAATTTAATGTTGATATCATACTATGTTATTCCCTCAAAATAATTTCTGATAAAATGAAAGTTTTGCGACTGTGGTTTCTGGTCATGCTTTGAACATTTGAGTTTTTTCATGTGAGGAAGTTGTCAAGGGAGCATACAGAAGGTCGGTGCAGGATTTTTTACTGGCCCATTTTGATGACCTATATTAGGTCATGTTACCTATGCTTTAAAGTATGTGTTTCTTTGACAAATTTCAAGAAGGAACAAAATAAAATAAATTAAACTATTGTCATTTTGTTACATTTAACCACACTGCAGTCACTGTTTAAGTGTAATCGTAAGAATAACCTAAAATGAGGTAGATTAAAGGGAGTTAATGCATCTTTTAGCTCCAACAGGTGAAGCTGATTTTGAATCGAAATTTGTAACACCCAAGAATAGCCAAAATCATCTCTCAGGTTTCAGCCCCATATGATCTGTTACTGTGAGGTACAGGCTGTACTTTGTTGGTGTGCCATATCCAAACAAACCAATCCATTGGTGTTTCTCTAACTTTGGTTGGATTGAAATGGCTCATTTGGATTAATATCAAGGTCACCAAACTGAGAGCTAAAAATAAATTTTTACTCTATATATATTAACTCTTTTTTTATTCAGCAACATTTTTCATAAAATTATTTGGTAGGAGTCCTGTCACTTTGATCCCTGAGGTAAATGTTAAATTCACCACTGTTAGATTTTTTCATGTTTGATTATTAATTGACACACTTGCAGGTCAAGGAGCATCCAATGCCCTTAGCAATATGTCTTGTAATTAAGTAAGAGAGAGAAATCTTTTTACACCAGGATGCTATAAACATTTTAACATAAATTGTAATCTTAAATATTGACTTCAGAAAAAAAAATTTAGGAGTTTAAAAAGGAGTGGTATTTAAATGATCTAATTTTGTTTTTGCAAATAAAGTTTTTTTAACCTTTAAACCACTTGGTGAAAAAGGCAAAAGGACAGCACATGATATTTTTTTGCAAATGCATCAATATTTTTGAAAAGAAGCTAACTTTGTGATTACTTTTATCAATTATTGTGGCTTAAATTTAATATATACAAGCCTTGTAAATAAACATTTTTTAATGTAAATGATAAAAACATCTTTAATTTTATTATCAATAAATTTGTGCTAATATTTAATGGTGTTGGAGAGTAATAACAAAAGTGAAGAGGCCAAATTGTTATATTAGTTAAAAACATCTACTTTATTTGTTATGAATATTTTCATGTTTTTCTTAAGTATATTTTTCTGAAAATCAAAACTTCCTGTACAATGCACATTTCCAGATTAAATTACTTGTACTTTACAATCAGGAAGTGTTTATTATGAAATTATACCAAGAAATTGTGTCATGTTTCAAAAAAAATATATCTTTATAATATTATATAAGAGTTATGTTATAAATATATCATAATTTTGTCTTTCATGTCTGTCTTATGTTTAGTTTCATATGAAAGTTATATTGCGAAATTTTATAATTATGTAAAATATCTTTATATGTTGCACTCTGCCCACTTAGCTCAATAGGGACAGCATCAGATTTATGATGGAGGGGTTGCTGGTTTGATCCTCGGGTAGGGTGTAATTTCTCCATGACAGTTGATCTCATACAGTGAGACTTGTGGTCATTTTTCTCTCACCTCTCATTAAGAACCATCTGGAATTAGTACATGTAGTCACTAGTGGAAAAATAGTTATTACTGGTCAGTTATCCAGGAATAAGCCAGTTAGGTGAAATAACTACTGAGTTATTACTATGGATGTGTCAGCGTAAAAACTAACCAAACCTATCAATGTTTATATTGCAAAGACTTTGAATTCTTTTGTTTTAATCTTTTTCTTGAATATAAGAATGTTTGATTCATTTTGTAAATGTATATATTTATATGTATTAAAACATGTGCTCTGTTGAAATAGATAAATGATAACATTTAAGAAATTTTCAATATTTTTGGTATGTATATATTTGGGAAATAAATGAAAAATGTAATGGTGATATCAGTACAGTAGTCATATTACAGATAAACGATCACTATCTTCAGTGAACATGAATTGTTATGAAAGGTGAGCAGATAATTGATAACAGGGAAGAAATAAGACAGTTGATTGTATTGGTTATAGTTTATATCATGGTACTTAAAGTTAGTAAACTAAAGTACATAGTCATTTAATGTAATTTAAGATAGCTTTGTTAAAAGATTCAAAGAGAGTACACTTTCAAGGTAAAACATTTTAGTTTTCTGTTTTTATTATAAACATTTAATTACCAATGATTTAGTGTAAAATTTCTAAATATTGTTATTTTTGGTTTTGTTTTGTTTTTCTATGTTCTTTTCTTTTTTTTGTTTAATTTGTTTCTTTGGTATGATTTGGGTCATATATTAGAATAATTAGTGTCAATTACCCATTAAATCTTAATAGATGTAGTTGTACTGTACATTTGGAACTGACATATTGTAAATTGAAAAGATTTTGAAATGCTACATTGTAATTGTTTTAACTAGTAGTTAATATATGTTATGCTTGAGTCCAACTGCATAGACTTGCCTTGTCTTTTTACTAGCGACATTAGCATGTCATTTTGGCTAAAAATGATGCTTGTTAGTATTCATAAAGTTATTACAAATCTGACCATTATTTTCTTAAAGCTTCCCAAAATTATTAGATGGAAAAAATTTTGATTATAGATTTATCCTTATAATTATATACTTTCGTTATGGCAAATGATTATAATATGTCATAGTGCCTTTATAAATAGACTGATAATTCTTAGATATTCGATGTGGTTTGTGCCTTCTATGGACCTTTTCCGCTCATTTGGTTTCAGTACAGGTATAAGTCAATAAGGCTAAAAAATGGCTAAAACTTGTTGAAGCAAGAGTAGGGGCATCCTTTAGTGTAACATGCTGTAATGTGATGATGTTAGTTGTGTTAATGATACAGCTGTATATATTAATTTAAAGTACAGGCTGACAAAATAAATGGTATACATAAACTCGGTCATGTATAGAATTGTATACATTATACATGTACTTGTCAAGCTCCTGTCTTCTTTACAGACATAGATTTGTTTACATGGATGTATATTTCTCAGATACATTGTACAGTTGGTAAAGACAGGTCTAGTCATACAAGTGTTCATTCAGCAAAAGGGAAAATTTCTTTTACTAAAACCTTTGAATTTCTCTCTTGCAAATTTGCTTAGTAAAAACTTATTGGATTTTTTTTATTCTGGATGTATGATAGAGTGAATAAAATTGCTTGTGAAAATTCTAAATTTTAAGATACTTGAATAAACTTTAAACAATTTATAGATAATATAATTGTATTAGAGTTTATGAAACAGTAATTATATTGAATCTTGAGTTATTATAAAAACAAAGCCAGATGAGTGTTACAAAAGTAGGATACAATGAGGAGAAATATAAAATGGTAAGGTGATTCATTCTTATAAATTGTTTATACATGTACCAGCAATTTTGTTTATAATGGTTGATACAAATATGAAGATGATTAAGAATAGACTATAACACAGAGAACATTATAGAACTGTTTTAATAGCAGATATACATATACTACCGTAAGTTAAAAGGTACTTTTAAATTTTTCAGTGTTAACAGAATATTCTGAATTCTTGAACTGTTCTTTCATTCAAAACATACATTGCTGTGCTTTCAAGAGAAAGGTGTCTTATTTTCAAAATACAAAACTTAAGGCAATGTTGAAAATGTTAAAAATGACCAAACTCACTATGTGGTAGGTTATTTGTACTTAAAAAAATAAATGATATAAGATGTAGTTATATAAGTAAATAAAAGAAGAAAAACTGAACAAAAACAGCTGTAAAACATTTTGGAAAAAATTGTGGAAAATGTTATCCATAAACCTCTTAATGATTTTAATCTGACTGAAGAAAGAAACACACAACATAAAAATGAGATTATTCATTCCTGCTTTATTTTCTTAACATTCAAAATAATGACTGCTTTTTATAAAATAATGCAATACTACTGTCTTGAGATGGTTTTTTTTTACATCATTATTGTAATTATCTCTACATTTTCTTGATATTTTAAAAGAATGAGAGGCATGTTAGATGAATAGATTTTACTTTTTTCAAAACAATGTTTCATTGTGTATTAAATTTTCTTGTTTTAATATCTGGTATAGTTTTTAACATTTTCTTTTTATGAGTACATGTATACCTACAAAAAGGTAAGGAAAAAAGGTAAGGAAGGTATCAAGTGATAAAAAGGTTAACAAATTGTTCACTTGTAATTAAAGACAAGGAGATTGATGATTATAGATGTCAAACTTGTCTAAAATGTCAAGTGTTTTCTCTCTTCAGATGACAATTATATACAGCTGCATTGCACGGGGCTCAACTATCCTGTGCAGTCATGGGGTACAGACAGGGACTAGTGATTATGAACAGGCTGTAGCAACCATCCTGCCTCAGATTCCTACAAGAAATGATGGGAAAACAACTGTCAATGCTTCAAAGTAAACTCATGTTGTTATTGTTTTTTATATCCATTGATAACTCAGTTTTTCATCTCAATTGTTTCCAAGTGCATTAATCAGTCTTTACTTTTGTTTTATGATTTTCTTCACTTTTGTTCTCATTAACCCATTGCTTCATGAGCATTTTGTGAAAAATGGCTGTTTTCATTGAAAAGTCTCCCGTTACAAGTTCAAATTGCTATAATACTATAAAAACTGCTTCAACACTAATCAAACTTGGCACAAATGTTGACTGGACCATTGCCCTTGCAACAACATGCTCAGGCTTAAATTTTCTGTTACCATGGCAACGAGGGGACATCTCAAAATTGCCAAAAATCACTATTTTGCGTTGATTTTTTCCATCAAAATTGATTTCAAAGTGCTGCAACTTCTCAATGGATTGAGATAGAGTCAAATGCTTTTCAGCGTTGGTTACACGTTACCTTATGATCAATCTGGGGTCATTTACAGCCTCTCACAAGTCCAAAATTTTCTTGGCGATGAGGGGGACTCCGCCCCCCTTCAAACCCCCCCAAACAGAAGGGGGCACATCCCCCTTCTGGCAACCCCCTGATGTATCTTTTGGTTGGGGGGCCGCGCCGAAAAAGAGGTCACTTTTTTTAACAACATTTCTCAAACAAAAACAAGTGTTTGGGGCCTAAATAAGGCATTTTTTCATCATTTGAGACAACAAAAAGGGGGGGGGGGGTGAAAAAGGCGTTAAAAGGCGTGTATATGAAGTAATGGGTTAACTTATTTATGATTTTAAATAAAAAAAAAATTAACACATAAAACACTGTTTTAGGATATTAAGAATATTTAACCTAATTTGATATAATATACAATTTGAACTTCAGAGATATTGACAAAATAAATGTCATATTAAGCCTCAATTGACTTTATTTTATCTAAACAGGAATTTTTTTTATAATTTTAAATTGGGCACTTTCGTTTAACTTTACAAATAAAGCAAAATTTAAAATGCTTAAACCTAAATTTTAAAGGGACTCCACTGAGGTTTTTTGACATGACGGGACTGGAAATAATTTTTTGAGATTATAACTCCATTTGATTTAGTATCTATACCAATAACTTATGTGCAAAATTTCAGATCATTAGCTCGCTCCGTTTTTCCAGAATAATTATTATAATAGTGAAAAATGACTCAAAATTGAAAAGCGTTTAAACGCTTTTCACTCAAATCTGACTGAAAATAGCACAGACATACAATTTTTAATATATTTCTTATATATTTCTTAATTATATCTTATTTATGTTTCTGTTTTAAGTGCTCATGTTTATCTACGTGAAAAATTAAGATTTTATGTTTTTAGGCTTATAAACCTCAGTGGAGTTCCTTTAATGTCAGATCACTCTTATTTAAGGAATAAATCTTACTGAAACTTTCAACCTTGTACATATGATTAAGTTCAGTTAATTTAATACCTTTTTTTGCAATTTTCAAAATGATGGTTTAAAACGAATGCATGTTTTTGGTAGCTTAAGTAACAGTAACATCAAAATTGATACCTTGTGGTGAAACAAATGACCTTACTTTATGTACTTTAACCTACATGTCTAGCAAATAATTAAAAATGACAATTTATGAATACTAGTATCCACTTGATATTCAGAAAAAGTTGTTTATTTTTACAATGCATTTATAAAGCTTTTTGACAGGTTATATAGCCCTATATAAATGATTGTTTGGAAATGTAGCCCCAAGCTGTTAGACAATGGTTATATTGCTTACATTTGTTTATATATGGTCATATAACCTTTTAGGAATATTTATAACAAATTAATTATACAGCAAAGTTCCTTTTAAGAGAAAGAAAGCGAGATTTTAACAGTCGCGTATATAAAACTATATAAACGTCACGATAATCAAATGAAAAGCAACATTACTAACATGCAGTATTATAAGATCAAAAATATAGATGAATTTTCTTAATATAAATAGAGGATATTGAATGAGTGTAGGTTTAATACTAAATTTATTGAACAAGTTGAATAAAATCATATTATGCGAGCCTCTGGCTCATTGTTTTATTCAATGAGTTCAATAAATTTAGTATTGAATCTACACGAATATAATATTCTATTTATCACATATATAAAATAAGAACGGTAAACTGTTACTAGTGTAATACCGTTTTTATTAAATGGCTTTATTACACTCCTGTGCCGCGGTTTATGTGATAAATCATAAAAAACAAAGCAACTGCTTTCAATAGGGTACAATTTGGAGGACATGTGTTTTGTTTGTAGAACTAAACTGTATTTTGTTATTTGGTACAGTTATGGTAGCATGATCTAAAAATCACAACTTTCCACTTTTTATGCCCCCGCCATGTAATGGCCGGGGCATATAGTGTTATTATGCCCCCGCCATGTAATGGCCGGGGCATATAGTGTTACCCTGTTCCGTCATTCCGTCCTTCCGTCCTTCCATCCTTCCGTCCTTCCGTCATTCTGTCATTCCGTCATCATCAGTTTCCGTTCATTATCTTAAGAACGGTTGGACACATTCAACTCAAATTTGACATATGGATATGTCATGAGAAAATACAGGTCAAGTTCGAATTTGGTCATGGTTCGATGATTTTTGGCAGAGTTATGCCCCTTTTACTTTGAAAATAATATGAAATTTCAGTTTCCGTTCATTATCTCAAGAACGGTTGGACACATTCAACTCAAACTTGACATATGGATATGTTATGAGAAAATACAGGTCAAGTTCGAATTTGGTTATGGTTCGATGATTTTTGGCAGAGTTATGCCCCTTTTACTTTGAAAATAATATGAAATTTTCAGTTTCCGTTCATTATCTCCCCAACGGTACAACACAATCAACTCAAACTTGACATATGGATATGTCATGAGAAAATACAGGTCAAGTTTGAATTTGGTCATGGTTCGATGATTTTTGGCAGAGTTATGCCCCTTTCACTTTGAAAATAATATTAAATTTTCAGTTTCCGTTCATTATCTCCCTCAAGGTACAACACATTCAACTCAAACGTGACATATTGATGCGTCAAAGGAATGCGCAGGTCAAGTTCAAATTTGGTTGTGGTTCGATGATTTTTGGCAGAGTTATGCCCCTTTTACTTTGAAAATAATATGAAATTTTCAGTTTCCGTTAATTATCTCCCTCAAGGTACAACACATTCAACTCAAACGTGACATATGGATGCGTCAATGGAATGCGCAGGTCAAGTTCAAATTTGGTCATGGTTCAATGATTTTTGGCAGAGTTATGCCCCTTTCACTTTGAAAGTAATATGAAATTTTCAGTTTCCGTTTATTATCTCCCCAATGGTACAACACATTCAACTCAAATTTGACATATGGATATGTTTTTGGAATGCCCAGGTCAAGTTCAAATTTGGTCATGGTTCAATGATTTTTGGCAGAGTAATGCCCCTTTCACTTTGAAAATAATATGAAATTTACAGTTTCTGTTCATTATCTACCTAACAGTGTTACATATTCAATTTTAATTTGACATATGGATATGTCAAAGGAATGGGCAGGTCAAGTTGGAATTTGGTCATGGTTTGATGGTTTTTTGGCAGAGTTATGTCCCTTTCACTTTGAAAATAATATAGATACATCTTAGGAATAAGCAGTTTAAGTTTGAATTTGTTCGTGGTTCAATGATTTTAGACAAACTTATCTTTCTTGAATGTTGGAAAAATTTTGAACTTTCAGTTTCAGCACTCATTCTTTTAGCCATTATTTTGGCTACAAATATGCAATATGCTTTTTCTAAAGGTTAAGACTGAATAATTTCAGTGCCTTGAACGTTGTATGGAAATGGTTTGTGTTAACATTGAAAAGTTTTAAGGGCTTTGAACTTAAAATGAAAAAAAAAAAATTAATGCACCATCTGAAATTTTGGCTGCATGCGGGGGCATCCATGGCATGATGACACATTTCTAGTTTCTTTTTAACATTTTATATTCACTATAGTCATTCTTCAAACAATTTATTTTGCTTGTGCTGGGACAAAAATGTCCCAGGCTTGTGTTGGTATGTCCACTCAGCTTTTTTTAGCTCACCTGTCACAAAGTGACAGGGTGAGCTTTTGTGATCGCTTTTCGTCCGGCGTCTGGCCGGCGTCCGTAAACTTTTACTTTAAATGACATCTCCTCATAAACCACTAAGCCAATTTCATTCAAACTTCACATGAATGTTCCTTTGGTGGTCACCTTTGAAAATTGTTCAAAGAATTAAATTCCATGCAGAACTCTGGTTGCCATGGCAACCAAAAGAAAAAAACTTAAAATATCTTCTTCTAAAAAAGCCAAAGAGCTAGAGCTTAGATATTTGGCATGAAACATCTTCTAGAGAGTGTCTACCAAGTTTGTTCAAATAAAAGCCCTGGGGTCAAAATTGGCCCCGCCCCAGGGGGTCATTGATTTTCCCTATATGCATATAGTAAAACCTTAAAAAATCTTCTTTAAAAGAACCCAAAGACCTATAGCTAAGATATTTAGCATGAAACATCCTCTAATGGGTTTCTACCAAGTTTGTTCAAATAAAAGCCCTGGGGTCAAAATTGGCCCCGCCCCAGGGGGTCATTGATTTTCCCTATATGCATATAGTAAAACCTTAAAAAATCTTCTTTTAAAGAGACCAAAGAGCTACAGCTAAGATATTTAGCATGAAACATCCTCTAATGGGTGTCTACTAAGTTTGTTCAAATAAAAGCCCTGGGGTCAAAATTGGCCCCGCCCCAGGGGGTCATTGATTTTCCCTATATGCATATAGTAAAAACTTAAAAAATCTTCTTGTAAAGAACCCAAAGACCTAGAGCTAAGATATTTAGCATGAAACATGTTCTAATGGGTGTCTACAAAGTTTGTTCAAATAAAAGCCCTTGGGTCAAAATTGGTCCCGCCCGGGGGGTCATTGATTTTCCCTGTATGCATATAGTAAAAACTTAAAAAATCTTCTTTTAAAGAACCCAAAGACCTAGAGCTAAGATATTTAGCATGAAACATCCTCTAATGGGTGTCTACCAAGTTTGTTCAAATAAAAGCCCTGGGGTGAAAATTGGCCCTGTCCCAGGGGGTTATTGATTTTCCCTATATGCATATAGTAAAAACTAAAAAAACTTCTTTTAAAGAACCCAAAGAGCTAGAGCTAAGATATTTAACATGAAACATCTTCTAGTGACCGTCTACCAAGTTTGATGTAATAAAAGCCCTGGGGTCAAAATTGACCCGCTCCGGGGGTCATTCATTTTCCTTATATGTGTATAACAAAAACTTAAAAAATCTTTTTTGAAAAAACTCAAACAGCTAGAGTTTAGATATTAAGCACGAAGCATCTTCTAGTGAGTGTCTACAAAGTTTGTTCAAATAAAAGCCCTGGGGTCAAAATTGGCCCGCCCCGGTGACATTGATTTTCCTTATATGTGTATAGCAAAAACTTAAAAATCTTTTTTGAAAAAACCTAGAGTTTAGATATTAAGCATAAAACATTTTCTAGTAAGTGTCTACAAATATTGTTCAAATAAAAGCCCTTGGGGCAAAACTGGCCCTGCCCCAGGTGTGTCATTGTTTTTAAGTATATGTGTAAAGAAAAAACTTGACCAGCTAGACCTTAGATGTTTAGCATGAAACATCTTCTAATGGGTGTCTACCAAGTTTGTTCAAACAAAAGCTCTGGGGTTTAAACTGGCCCCGCTCCGGGGGGCTATATACACGTGAGCGACTTCAGGGCCATCATGGCCCTCTTGTTTCTTTCTTCTTTTTGTGAAACTTGTGTGTGACTTTTTTCCTATGTTTGGTTTTGTTTTATTTGCACACCTCTGCTTATTATTATTATTTCATTTCAGTACAAAATTTCACTGTATTGTAGAAAATGGCATAATATTTTTGTGTGCAGCTAAACCAGGGACTGAAACACGGCCTTGTTTTGCTTATTTAACAGAGGTACATGTAATATTAAACTTGTTTTAAAGACCTTTTGAGTTGTTGCCTTATAGTTAAGGTATCTGTTTCTCATTTAAGGGATCGTGAGTTTAAGCCATACTTGGGTTATTATAGGATCATATTTCCTTGTTAGACAACAGTACTGGTAAATTTCAGGAAGAGACTTGGTATCAAGGTTTAATTACAGTCAAGCTAAAATAAATGAACAGTCTTAACAAAGTTATGGATGTTGTTTATTCCAGAATGATGGTCATTATAATAACAGTTTAGACTGTATCTTTTTACTCACAAAGACCAGATTAACGATTTCTGTTATAAGTTTTTATAGACATTTTATAGACATGTTTAACTGTTATAACATTTAAAAATGCTTCTTGATTTTTAATCAACATTCTTTTTATGTCAAGAATTAATCGGTAAGACATATTTGATTTTAATGTGTGGTGCATGTTATATTTATTTGTACTTTTCTTTCTGTTATTTAGCAATTTCATTACTTTGAGTGTAACTGTTATATACAGTTACTAAAGGCAACTGTAATTGTAGAAATGTTCTATTTTTTCCAAAATACTGAAGTTATCAACTTTACAAAAACATTATTCTCTGAAGATTTGCTTTCATGTGTATGATCCTATTTTGTATTAATTGATTGGACACTCTTTTTGTATAATTTAAACTTTATGTATGTACAATGTTTAAACATTGAGAAGTACTGCTCAGTATTATAAGTGATAAGTATACAAATTAATCAGTATTGAATTTTATTGATGATATATTAAATGACATTTAAATGATATTGGTACCTGATGTAGTGTAAAAAATATTGAGCTATTTTTCTTTCAGCTTAAAGACCAGTTTCATAATCAAAACTTTGCAGAGCAGGCAGTCACAGCCAGGCCTCATGAGTTTGACTCTCAATTTAACAGTGTCATGGCAAAACAGATGGTAAGAAAATATAAATTTCATAACTTTTGCAAGTTCTTCATCTAGGTGATGAATGTCTCTAGTCAACAAATGTGGTTGATTTTGTAAACCACATGTAATTAAGTGTTGAAAATGATGGAGTGGGGCAGTGGACTTCATGAGTTTTTTCGTTTCCAGTTGAGCTGGACATCAATAAAATAAGAACTTTAAGGAATAAATGTGTACCGTGTAAGAACTTATTTCTGCGGGCTTAATATTTTTCGATTTTTGTTCAAATAAGGGGTTTTAAATTGCTGCATATCTTATTTCTGCGGTGTCATCATTCTTGCATTGATGGTTTTTATTTCTGTGGTTTAATTAAGTTATTTCTACGAAATTAAACTATACAAACAGACAACATTTTAAGATTTGTTGATGTAACATGTACATTACTTCCGGTAAACATGCAGACGACTTATAATATGTTTCGTGGTAATCATCATGTATCAGTATATACAGGTTAATAAACAAAAAATTAACAATGTGCAATGACAACAATTGTAATACTGTATGTGTATAAATATCAAGTGTGAAAAATAAACAATGGCAAAATCACACGTAGACACAAGATATTGTACATGTTTATTGCACCCGTCAAACTATAATAGTTCTCTTTTACAAAAAATCAAGCTTAGGGTGAGCGAAAATCATACAAACATGATAATTATTTATTCGAACTTGTTCATTAAGAACCAGTTAAGTAACATTTTTTTTCTAATTATATATTTTATTCAATGACGTATACATAAAGAAAAATTCCCATCTACAAAATCCGTGAAAGGCTTAATTTTCTGCGGATTTTAAATCTGGGGTGTCATTATGAACCGCAGAAATAAAGTTCCCGCAGAAAAAAGTACTTATATGGTATATATTTCTTTTAACATTCATGCAGCTCTTATGTCTAGTTTCATGTATATTGTAATGTAAACGATATTGTATTAGAACATAGATATTTATTTAGATGCTTATCTGTATTGTGTAAAATTGATGGTTCTAAAAACATGATTGATTTGAATATGAAATGCATTTTTTATTTGTTGATAAATTGTTAAATTTGGCATCGCCAAACCATCCCCAACTAATGCATTTATCCCTTTGGGCATAAAACTTCTAACAATATGATAACATATAATCATAATTTGGTTTTGGCTAAATCTTTATATATACATTTTTTGTACGCCCGTTTGAAAAACGGGACTTATTATGGGAACGCCCCTGGCGTCGGGGCGGGTGGGCGGGCGGATGGCGTCCAATTTTGTCCGGAGCATATCTCCTACATGTATGGAGGGATTTTAATGAAACTTCATAGAAATGTTCACCACTATGAGGAGCAGTGTCGCAAACATGAACCAGGTCTCTAGGTCAAAGGTCAAGGTCACACTTAGAGCTCATTGAAAAATGCTTGTCCGGAGCAAAACTTCCACATGTATAGAGGGATTTCAATATTACTTGGCACAAATGCTCACCATAGTGAGGCCGAGTGTCGCGCGCAAGATTCAGGTCCTTGCCGCCAAGGTCAAGGTCACACATAGAGGTCAAAGTTCAGATAAAAATATGAAGATTTGTATATGGACCATTTAGTCATCATTTATTGAGGGATTGTAACACAAATGGTCATTATCAAGACTATGGCTGTGATACATATAATTTAGGTCAATATATACAAGGTCAAGGTCACTAAAGATGATGAAATATCCAGATTTTGTCCTGAGCATATCTCCTACATGCATGGAGGGATTTTAATGAAATTTCATAGAAATGTTCACCATTATGACAAGCCATGTCACGCACATGAACTAGGTCTCTAGGTCAAAGGTCAAGGTCACACTTTTAGAGCTCATTGAAAAACGCTTGTCCGGAGCAAAACTTCCACATGCATAGAGGGATTTCAATATAACTTGGCACAAATGTTCACCATTGTGAGGCGGAGTGTCAGGCACAAAATTCAGGTCCCTGCAGCCAAGGTCAAGGTCACACATAGAGGTCAAAGTTTAGATAAAAATATGAAGATGTGTATAGGGACGATTTAATCATCATTTATTGAGGGATTGTAACACAAATGGTCATTATCATGACTACGGCTGTGACACATGTACTTTAGGTCAATATATGCAAGGTCAAGGTCACTAAAGATGGTGAAATATCCAGATTTTGTCTGGAGCATATCTCCTACATGTATGGAAGAATTTTTATAATACTTTATGGAAATGTTCACCACCATGATATGTATTGCTCCATGCATGATCCAGGTCTCCAGGTCAAAGGTCAAGGTCACACTTAAAGCTCATTGAAAAACACTTGTCCGGAGCAAAACTTCTACATTCATAGGGGGATTTCAATATAACTTGGCACAAATGTTCACCATTGTGAGGCTGAGTGTCGCACGCAAAATTCAGATCCCTGCGACCAAAGTCAAGGTTACACATAGAGGTCAAAGTTCAGATAAAAATTTGAAGATGTGTATAGGGACCATTTAGTCATCATTTATTGATGAATTGTAGCACAAATGGTAACTATCATGACTACAGGTGTGACACATTTAATTTAGGTTAATATTTGCAAGGTCAAGGTCACTGGAGATGATTAAATATCCAGATGTTGTCCGGAGCATATTTTCTACATGCATGGAGGAATTTTAATGTTACTTTATAGAATTGTTCATCACCATGAGACGTAATGCCCTGCACATGAACCAAGTCTCTAGGTCAAAGGTGAAGGTCACAGTTAGAGCTCATAGAAAACGCTTGTCTGGAGCAAAACTTCTACATGCATAGAGGGATTTCAATATAATTTGGCACAAATGTTCATCATTGTAAGGCTGAGTGCCGTGCATAAAATTCAGGTCCCTGCGACCAAGGTCAAGGTCACACATCCTGTGCATATCTTCCCTACTGATTTGTTTTAAGGTTCATTTAACAACACAGTGCCTAGAATAAAAACTTGCTTGCTAGATAACAGTTATCCATAATGCCCCCATCTCCATCTAAAGCTTTCGTAAACGGGCGTATTTTGTGACTATGGCACCCTTGTTATTTCTTATTATTGCAGGATAGGTATTCGAAGAAAAATGCAACTGATAATTTAACAGTATTGCAAGGTCAAGTGAAGGAGGTTACTGGCGTGATGTCACAAAATATAGAATCTGTTATTCAACGTGGGGAGAGGTTAGATGATCTCATGGATAAAACAGACGAACTTGAAGCTGCTGTATGTATATATATGTATTATACTCATTATCTTACATTGGGCATTAGAATATTATAAGATTTAGTGTTTCAAAACTAACGATATAGTTACAACTGCTACTGTATTTTCTACAGTTGCAAAAATTCTTCATAGATATTGTTTTGGGGTCATCAGTGCCAAAAGATTTTATGGATCTTTATTTGATAGTACCTTTCGAAGATATATCTGGCAATAAAAAATACTTAGTACATTCCAAAGATAAAATATCTAGCAATAAAAAAATACTTTAAAAGTGAAGTTTTAAACATAACCTGTGAGACTATGTTTCTGTGAAAGATGCTTCAGTTAGAGCAAAGTAATACATAAACCAGCTTCCCTGGAAGTACAGCTTAATTTGCTAGATCTATGTTTAAATGGATAGCTATCATCTCCCTGCCTGTAAGGCAAATAAATAAATCTTGAAAATAAATAAAATTCTGAAGAAGATTAGGAGATGAATCGTTCTAAGAAAGATATTTGGCGGAGTGGTCTGTTTCAGTTTAAGCTTTGAAGTATGCCCTATTGTGGAGAAAGCTGTATAGTGTATACAAATATCAATCACTCTTGATTGGACAATATAATTATATTGTAAAGGTCATATGGTGACCTTTCAGCTTTACCAGAATGGTGCCAATTAGTGTATTATTTCAGACACAAGCAAGCACTTTGGTAGTACCAACTGTCTTCCATTAGATAGCTCAATAGCTTGCTTAAATAAAGGAAACTTAAGTCCTGACAGGATTTGAATTCAAAGCAGTTAAAGGACACATGATTCAATATCAGCAGCTTTTACCACTCAGTCACAGAGACTACCTAATTACAAGTCTACTTTCTTGAGTAAAAGGTAGCAATGCCATGGGAGTTTTCTTTTGTTCTTACCAATCTCTTTCAATTATATGTTATAATTGTAAACATATAAAAATGTTTAAAGTAATGTCTTGAGAAAATAGCTGTTTGATTAGCTCAGTAGGTAGAGCATTGGACTTGGTTTGATTCCCAGATGGTGCAGTTGCTGTACGACTGTTATAGTGATTCATTATGAAATCCTTTCTACGGTCATTCTAACTGAACATCTGTTCTGGTATGTACAGAGGTTATCAGCTCCTTGCGAAAGTAAAGTCAACTAGTACTGGTAAACTGCTTGACAGCATGCCTATTGTGCTCTTGTTTATTCAATGTGGCTTACTGCCGTGATCCAGAGTGAAAACTGCCAACACCATCATCTTGAGAAAATATAGTCATATTGTCCCAGTAGTCCTCAGACACATTAGCAGGTGTTTATATACTTTCTGTTAATATTTTTTTTTACTTTTTATCATTTCAGTCAGCAACATTTCAAAGAACAGCAACGAAGATCAGGAAGAAGTACTGGTGGAAGAATTTTAAAATGAAGATAATAGTTGGATGTGTGGTGTTTGTTGTTGTAGTAGGAATAGTACTAGCTATACTTTATGGCTCTGGTATCGTACCTGGCGATAGTAGTAGTTCTAAAACCACAGCTTTACCACCTACACCTACATCAAAAAGTCCTTGATATCATTGTCAACACATTTATCTTTTTTATAATTTTGAAGATGCTATTTAACATATAGCATTGTTTTGTTTATGTGGTGTTCATTATTAACGATAGTGCAATTGAAGTAAATGTAAAAAGTTGTTTAGTTTTTAAAAGCATTGTTTGATACTTTTGTCATAAAAGTAAAAGTTGTAGTAATGTCTAGAATAATTTTTGACTTATATTATTTGAGAACATTATATTGTTGTTACTATTATCTTTTAAACTTTGTTAAGATTTGTTTTACTTAGGATATGGTTATTAATGCAATTAAAGAAAAAAATACTTTTACAGCTTTTAGCATAATTTTTTAATCTCTTTTTAAATTAAATTTATTTTGTTGCCATAACCAATATTATATAACATCACAAACTTTTTTTTTATAATTACTGCTCAATCCTTACTGTATTAATGAAATTATACCCCCTTGCCTAGTATTTTAACATTTTTAGATTGTCATGCCCCTTGTTGTTGTAATAAATCAATACCAAAGTTGTTTTTTTATTAAGCCTTTATTCAGACAAAATTATTTTAAATTTAAATATTTTTTCAGCATCTTTCTTTATAGTTTGTCAGAATAAATTAGTTATCTTATTAAGATGATAGTTTCTCCAGGAAGCTTTATTGAAATATTCTTCCTCATTGACTAATTAATAAGTGGCTTTAATTGTGTTGTGCCATAAAATGACCAGTACTTGTATAATTATGAGACTATGTATATAAGCATTTTGTAGAGGAAGAAAATGTAGATATTATTATAAGCAACCCTTTGTACAGACTTACTGTATATTAAAGGGAGAATTGATGACTGATGGTTTATTCTACAGGCATATACATTGTGTGTATGTTTCCAAGATGATCCTGTAGTCAAACTTGTACAAATACTCATATAATTTCATGTATACATTGTTCATCATGTCAAATTGTAATGGTGGTGCTATTTATAACTAACTGTTCAGATGTATATACATGTTGTTGTTTTTCTGATATTTATGATAATTTCTATCTTGCAGGTCTATGCAGTCTATGCTCAAAATATATAATTTTCTTTCTTATAATTAACCACTGAATATAGTGCCAAACAATGCATGCATAGTTGTCTTGAAATAATTTCTGTACATGAAAAATAGGTATTCTTTGCATAATTTAAAGAACCTTGTATTTTACTTAAATTTTAAATTGTATCATACAAAGAAAATATATGTACATCTTTGATATTTCTAACTGTCAACACTTTCTGTGCTTGACTTTGATGGATCTTGAATTTATGCAATACAATACTGTGTTATATGATGACTTCTGTTTTAATGTTTAAATCTGGTAGCTGTTCTTCGAGTTTATTCTAATATACTTTTCTTAGTTGTTTATTGCATATTATTTCAATACTAAAACTGATTTCAAAAAGATGATTATATTATTATTAATGACACTGTTTCAATAAATTATTATAAATTGTTCCATTTTTTTTGTAAATATCTCCCTTTTTGCATCAAAATCACATTTTGAACTGAACTGCAATTTAGCTGGGTATAAATATTGAGGCCAGCTCTATACAGTGTATTTTAAAACTTACTAGACAGTAGTTGAGGATTGACCTGTATGATGCCCACCCAATTCTTTTGGTAGTAGTGCATAAAAATGACCCCTTGTGAAGGAGGGGTTGCCTTGATGGGTTGAGGCATCCGAATTTCAGCCACCATTTAACCCTGCATGATCGTAAGATGTGACTAAATGGGTGCAAATAACTGGAGTCAGATTCTCTAAACTCCAGCAGGTGAAGTTGTTTTGACCCCTGGTGTTGCTTAAAGTTTGCAACACCTGAGGCTTTACAGTTTTGTCACCATAAATATATATAAAGTTATCAATTTCGAATTTTGAAATACTGTTTTATTAGCTCCACTTATCAAGAAAAAAAAGTGGAACTATATTGTTATGACCCTCCAGTCAGCACTGGTTAACCTTTTTATAACTGTTAATATTCTATGAAACTATAACAGGTATTCACTTCAAACTTGCTATACATGTTTGTTGTCATTAAAAGGGAGAAGATCGTCCAAAAATTATCTTTTGCAAAGTAATGCCCTTTTTTCAACTCTGGGTTCATTTTCTCAGAAACTATAAGTTATTCTCATCAAGCTTGATATACATTTTCACTGTCAAACTACGACATCATTTAAGAACAGCAGATACACAAATGTAATTCTAAAAAAGAATTGTCAAAGTTATGTCCCTTTTTATTTATTTTTTCCATATGTCAATGTCTCAAAAAGTCACATTAAGTGTCAAAAGTTAATCACTTCAAACATGGAATATTTGTTAAGATTTAAAATTGAAATGCATTTTTACAGAGTAGTTAACTTTTTAATTTATTTCTCCTCAGTTATGCCCCCTTTTGACTGTGAATTTCTGGGTCAACTTTTTTGTTAACACCTGCTAAAGTTAATTTTTGTCAAGAATATAAACTGTCTGAAGCAGTTAACTCCCCTGATCAGTATAATAGCTTAGCAACACATAGATACCATAAAAGGTTGGGCAAGATTATAGTCAATCAAGAAGAGCTCACTAATGGAACTTACTTCCAGACAGAGGATGACTTCTTTCGATTTGATAAATATGTTTGTCAGAGCGAATTCTCGAGTCCGCAGCCGTACCTCGCTTTTGTATATATTGTTACTATAGTTCATGGATTAGTTGCCCAGGTCAAAGACCCGAATTTATGATACTGAAAAACGTCTTCCGCAACTTAGCATTTGATTCACACACAGCTAATTTGATGCTTATGATTCCCAAATGTATACTTAATTTTTGAAGACCCTGGCGGAATAAACTCCACATCAAGGAAATATCCACTTATTTCATTTACATATAAGTATCATTGTATGAAACAAAACAACACCTTGTTGAAAGATGCCGCTATTTAAGCAGAATGATGTCCATCATACCTTGGTGACAATATACGGGGGACAGGAAATGTCGTGCTCATAACAGGGTTTCCCTTATCAAATCCTTTTATTTGCCAGTTCAAGCTGATACTCTGATGTATGTCAGTTTTCCCTGTTTATATTTAATACCTTGAAAGGGTATATAAAATTAAAACTGCTTCAATACTAATCAAACCCACAAAAAAAAAAAACAACAAAAACTGACTGAATTTCAATGCATATTTATAATCTGCAAATTTGACTGTTCTTTGTTATTTACTCTGAGGCCCTCTTATCAGCAGGAGAGTGGTATAATGAAAACAGTCCCTCTTAGAAAATATCAATACACAGTGTCACGGTTCAGAACTGTTCATTATTTAGGGGAGAAGATGAAAAGCGGCCGGATAGCTCAGTAGGTAGAGCCGCAGTATTCCGAGGGTCCCGGGTTTGAGTCCCTGTCAGACTGCACATTTTTCTCACCCTGTGACAACAGCATGACTTGTAATTTTCCTCTTCAATAAAAGTATTCTCTTTATACATTAAATTTTCAATATTGAAATCATGAATAAAGTTACCAAATTTATGTATTTTATGGATAATATTTAAATTATTTATATCTTTTAAACATATGCAAGCATTACACAGTTGAATACTAAATTATCACAGTATATTGATTGTTTTAAAATCAATGTATTAATATTCTCTTTCAATATTGAACATGAGAAATTGTCTCTAAGTTATATATTATAGAAATAATATTTTAATATAAACCTTTCCTTGATTTGTTTTGTTTGAACTTAAGAAAAAAAAATTTATGTTGTTACAAACTAAATTAATTGGGCCAGAATTATCACATATATTTTCCCATTTGTACACTAGAAAAATTGAAATACATGGCCATTAAAAAAAGCTTAAGAAACACTTATTTAGTCCCCTACCGGTTTAACCCGAGGGGACTTTAGGTTTACCCTCCGTCCATCTGTCTGTCTGTCAGTCCGTCCGTCCACAAAACTGGATCCCGCAATAACGCAAAAAGTACTGAAAATATTTTTATGAAACTTGATATATGGATAGATGGCAGTATGGACATTATGCACGTCTTTTTTTTTTTCTTCCTATGTTGAAAATTCTGGTTGCTATGACAACAAATAGTCTGAAAATATGGCAAATTGAACACATAAACTGGATCCAGTGATAACTCAAAAAGTACTGAAAATATCTTTATGAAACTTAAAATATGGGTAGATGGCAGTCTGGAGATTATGCACATCTTTTACTTTTCTTCCTATGTTGAAAATTCTGGTTGCTATGGCACCAAATAACCTGAATTTCAAGATTTCTGATTTAAATTTTTCAGCTTTTTCACTATAAGTTCTTTATTTCTTAAGGTGTTTACTTCAAACTTTAAATATAAGTTTCTGGCCATCAACCACATCATATGTGACAAGGTTTACAACTCTAGCACAACTAGAAATGTGTCCATAGGACACGGATGCCCCCACACGCCACTGTTCTGTCAATCTTATGACTCTAGGTCAAATATTTTTTGGACTACATGTGCCACAAGTTGAAAACTAAAAATCAACAAAGGGCCATAATTCTGTTAAATTTGGTCGCAGCAAAAATTCCTTCCTTTACTACCATCTTCACATTAAGGTTGTTAATCCCTGGAAGTTTAAGCAAAATCTGCCATCCGGTTTAAGATAAGTTGCGTTCACAAAATTTCTACATAGTATATAATGAAAAAATCAACAAAGGGCCATAATTCTGTTAAATTTGGTTGCAGCAAAAATTCCTTCCTTTACTACCATCTACACATTAAGGTTGTTCATCCCTGGAAGTTTAAGCAAAATCTGCTTGCGTTCACAAGATTTCGGGACGGACGGACGTGCAACACTATATGCTCCCACATTGTGGGGGCAGAAAAATTATCAGTATTACCTCCCTTGAACTTAGAATTTTTATGAAAAAAAATGTCTTTTTTAAATAACTTCTTTATTTCCTAATGTATCTACTTCAAACTTCATATATATGTTTCTTATTATCACTCAACATTTTTGAGAAGGTTAAATACTCTAGCAAGACTATTTTCAGAATTATCTCCCCCTTGAACTTAGATTTTTTTCGAGAAATTGGTATTTTTCACTCCAACTTCTTCATTCCTTATAGGATTTACTTTAAAATCCCACATCATAATAGTATGACAAGGTTGTATAAACATAATTTCTTTACAAGGCAGGGAAACTTAACACATTACTGTGATATAGACAAACTTAGAACTCAAAAGATTTAAGTTCATTCATGTCATTCATCCACTGGTAAAATTGAATGGCCAATGGCCCATCAGAATGTTGCTGGGGTTCTAACCGGTAGGGGACTTAATTATGGATTGCTTGCAATACTATGATAATTGCTTGTTTAATTATCCATTACGGAGCATATTTTAATCTAACCTTATTAATTCTATAAATTTGATTTTAAGGGGTATTATTTTACACTTACAGTTAAATACTGGTTAATAAAAATATGATTACAATAATTAAAAAAAAATTAATTTTAAAATTTAACATATGATATCACCTAAAATGTTAAAACTGCTGATTTTAAAATTTACATATTTATATTTATAAATAGGCCATATACACATGTATTCCCAAAGTTTTTTTTTCTTACAGCAGCTTAACCCATTACTTCATGAGCTGTTTGTGAAAAATGGCTATTTTCATTGAAAAGTCTCCCGTTACAAGTTCAAATTGCTTTAATACTATAAAAACTGCTTTAACACTAATCAAACTTGGCACAAATGTTGACTGGACCATTGCCCTTGCAACAACATGCTCAGGCTTAAATTTTCTGTTACCATGGCAACAAGGGGACATCTCAAAATTGCCAAAAATCACTATTTTACGTTTATTTTTTCCATCAAATTTGATTTCAAAGTGCTGCAACTTCTCAATGGATTGAGATAGTCAAATGCTTTTCAGAGTTGGTTACACGTTACCTTATTTTTTTTTTTTTGATGCGTTTATTTAAGGTCGCCGCCGGAAAGCCCATATGGGCGACCGTACACTCAAGTCGGGTCATCCTAGAGCGTCCCGCCGAGATTTTTCGTCGATTTTTTTCCAGCTTTATTGGTGGAGGAAGACCCCAGGTGCCCCTCCAGGCATTATTTCAGGCACGAGCGGGCACCTGGGTAGAACCACCGACCTTCCGTAAGCCAGCTGGATGGCTTCCTCACATGAAAGATTTCGACCCTAGTGAGGATCGAACCTACAGTGGTGAGGGACCTGTGATCTCAAGTCAACGACCTTAACCACTCGGCCACGGAGGCCCCCACGTTACCTTATGATCAATCTGGGGTCATTTATAGCCTCTCACAAGTCCAAAATTTTCGTGGCGATGAGGGGGGTGGTCACTTTTTTTAACAACATTTCTCAAACAAAATTAAGTGTTGAGGGCCCAAATAAGGCATTTTTTCACCATTTGAGACAACAAAAAGGGGGGGGGTTGAAAAAGGCGTTAAAAGGCGTGTATATCGCGTAATGGGTTAACAATGGATGCCCCCTGTCACTTGATATGCAATTATCCAATATACCATTAAGGTGTCACCTTCCCTGGCCAGCCTGGTCATATGGTCTAGTGCACTAGAAGTGCACGTGGTTTGCACTTCTAGTTCAGCTCTAGTGCACTTAAGGGTGGGAAGTTTAGTGTGAACTCAACTGTATTTAATGGGTTATTTGGTTGAATGATTTTTAACTGAGTAATGGCCCTTGAATGAAAAAAGGCATTTGGGCCCATTATTTATGTTAGTGTCACCTGCTTCACAGTAGTGAGACATTCTTCAATGTATGGATCCAAGACATAAACGGAACAAGCTATCTTATCACTCTTCAATACAAATGAGCCTAATTGGGTATCATCAGGCGACACATTTGATCAATCTGATCACTCTTGTTAGTTGTTACTGTTATCTGTTTGGAATTTGATGAAGAGAATATAATATTTGTGTAGATTCATTACTGTGTTTATTGAGCTTGTGAAATGAAATATTATCATGCTAACCAGGGGTTCCCATTACATAATTGTAATAAACTCATTCAGTATTGAACCTACACTAATTCATGTATTTATTTACTTAGTCTGATCAACTGAGCTGTGTTTTGTCATTTAAAAAGGAGCTTTGGGTGTTAGTTGTTTTTTTTTACCATACTATGACATTTTGTAGTTTTAAATCTTAAAACTTAGTAGTCTGAAACCTACCGATAGAGTTTTTCTAACAACATTAGAAAATAACGGTGGTCGTGGAATTGTGGGATATGTGTCTCTGCCACGTCTTGACAATTCACGATATTTCCTAATATTTGTTCGATCATGACACAGTATTCGAGATAAAACTAGTAGATATAGGTATTTGGTATAATTTAAGTTGCTTAAACGTGAAAAATCTACGCATCGAACGCGTACTAACAGGTAAATAACTTAAAAAATTATGCCGGGCGAATTGTCAAAATCATTTTGAGAAAATTTGACAGTTTTTGACATGTTTCAAATTTTTGCTTTATAAAACAGTAATTACTTGTTTGATTATTTAGTTACTTTTGTTTTACGCAAGGTACGGATCCTTATGTATAATGCGAATATTTTGTTTTAATATTTTCCCTCTGACCATCGCATGAACCTGACAGACCAGTTCTCTTTTAGTTTTAATCAGACGTCCACTGAAAGAAACAAACTTTTAAGTATGCTTAAATAATATGAAATTAGGCCGAGCATATGAACAGAGAAGTCGTTAAAAGTTCTTTTAAAGATTCTGTTTTAAAGGTCATGGTGTCACCGCTTCCATTTTCACTCGGAACATTCAACTTTTACGGCCCGACGATTATTATTAATATTAATCCGAAAAGTTGAGATTTGTTCCGTTATCGGAATACACAACCTTCTATCATTAAGTTACATTGCAGGGCTCACACTGGCTCAAATAAAATAATAGCCAATAATTTCAACTTAAAAAAATAATAGCCAAAACTTCAGCGGACTATTCACGAAATAGCGATTAACAACATAAGCAGTTGATTAAATAAACATTACATTTATATCTTTCAATTTTATAAGGATTCTCAAATAAACTGATACATTTGTGTATATTGATAACTACCTTTTTTTAAATAGAACCACAACTTTAATTGTTATTATAGAACAGAATAAAACGTTATAATTAGTATAATTACTGTATAACAATAATATTAAAGATTTCATTAAAACTTTACATAATGCTGTTATCAGACAACTTTTTTGTTTGTTCTAATCAAATTTTGTCAGCTATAACCACTGTCAATTTCCACATTTCACACAGAACTGGAGTAGATCTAGGTCATATTAGCCTATAGAAATAACACAAGTTTGCAAACTTATTCACAGAATGCAGCCTTTTTTCTGAATAATTTACTGAAAAATATCATCATCACCAATGTAATACAAATTTTCTGCCATAGTAGTAAAGATTTTTCAACAGAACATAGCTTATTTCACCTTTAAATAAATATCAAAATTATCGGTGTCGCGAAAATATGTGACAATCGGATTTTTTCTGTTTTCTGAAGAAATATTCACAATTTTGGTTGTTGTGCAAATAGTAGTTTGAAAGTTAATACTTTTTACATATTTTACCATTGTTTTCCACTGGCTATTTAGTCAAGTAGCTTAAAACAAAAGCAAAAAAATCAAAATTTGCAATTACTGCAATTCACGGTAAATTTTGGGTAAGTCAATATCCAGTTTATCAATTTTAAAACGATTTTTGGGGCTAATTGACGGATATTTGATGGCTATTATAAATGCTGGACAATATCTTTAAAGTACTTATACAATTATACATCTCGCATGTATTTTATCACCTCGGGCAATATAGTTGGCAGCACGTGACCGGTAAAAAGTTGACACTCGATTAAATGCACCCCGCTGGTGTTAATTGGGTCTTCTGCATTCATTATCGATTTTTACACCTTATATAAACACTGTTGGAAGTAAAAGATAATCGCCAGATTTTGTAGCCAAAATGCAAAAATAATCGCCAATCTTATAAAATAATCGCAATTGGCGACTATGGCGACCGACAGCGTGAGCCCTGACATTGTAAATGGCGGTGCCTTAGTAAAACTCACAGACTTTAGAACACTGTCAATTTAGTAGTGATAAGTTCTGTCAAATTAATATTTATTGGATGAATGAGTTCAACTCCATGTTTTCTTAAAATTGATACAAACCATCTTAAAATGTAAAGCCTTGCTTCAAATTATTTCCTTTTTGATTATTTTTTTCTTTGTTAGTAAAACAGTCAAAATTACAGTTTTAATATCATTAGGTTTTGGGGTTTTAAGAATTTATTAGTAACAGCGTTTATCTTTTGTAAGATATCTTTTTCATCTGCATGTGAATTGATATACAGCATCAAGTTCATACTAAATATTATCGTGAACTCACATAAAATTTGTATCTCTATCTTGATCGGCTTCATTTTGTTGCAAATAATATCAGAATGAGGACATAACATGTACTTAACAATAAAAGTAGTTTAAGTTAAATATATTTTAAAGCAATTCTGAATGAGATTACACTGAGAGACAATACGTTTTCAATAGTAAAACTAAAATGTTCTTGTTTTTCTTTTAACAGCATTCTTACACAATGAAAGTTAAAGAGATTGGTCGTACAGCTAATATAGCATGGTCACCACAGCAACAACATCCAGTTTATATGGTAGCTGGAACAGCTGCTCAGCAGCTGGATGCTACATTCAGGTATACTTTTGAATGTCTTGTTAAATTTATTCTTATAAAACCTTTATTTTAAAGTATGAAAAATAACAGTTATTAGTACATTTGGTGCCAGAGTTTTCACTAGGCAGGATTTACAGGAAACTTACAAACTCAAGGGTCTGACCCATCATATGTATCATTTTAAAGTTGTCGTTGTTGTATGATACTGATCTGTCAATCGTAGTGTAAGCTTATCTGACATGCTTTCTAGCTGCTTGCTTCACTGGTTGATGTAATTTTAATTGACTGAAAATGAGGAACTTTTAAAGAATGAACATGATTTTTTTCTGAATTATGAAATCCTTTTATTAATAATATTATTTATTTTTTAGCACATCTGCAGCTCTCGAGCTGTACAGCTTGAATCTTGGAGACCCATCACTGGACATGCCCTTGGTAGCAACAGTGCCTTCAGATTGCAGGTAAGAATATTGTTTCAATCAAAAAGGAATATTTGAATTTATGTTTAAAGATTGATTAAAAAGTATCTAATATAAAAAAATGTAAAAATAATTTATGAATTGTGCTACTTTATGCTTCTTTGAGATAAATTTTATGAATTTAAAAAAACATTATTTAAAGTCTTTAACCTAACCTTTTCCCTTATATAAGCGTGTTTCGACGGCTTTTTGCCCCCCCCCCCCTTTTTTGAGGCCTCAAACAGTGAAAAAATGCCCTATTTGGACCCCAAATACTGTTTTTCGTTTAAGAAATGCTGTTAAAAAAAGTGACCACTTTTTCGGCGCCGTCCCCCATCCAAATGTTACATCAGGGGGTTGCCAGAAGAGGGATGTGCCCCCTTATGTTTGGGGGGTTTGAAGGGGGGCGGAGTCCCCCTCATCGCCAAGAAAATTTTGGACATGTGACAGGCTAAAAATGGCCTCAGGTTGATCTTAGGGTAACTAGTAACCGACGCTGAAAAGCCTTTTACTCTATCTCAATTCATTGAGAAGTTGCAGCACTTTGAAATCAGTTTTGATGGGAAAAAACAATGCAAAATAGTAATTTTTGGCAATTTTGAGACGTCCCCCCAGTTGCCATGGTAACAGGAAATTTAGGATTGAGCATGCTGTTACAGAGGCTATGGTCTAGTCAACATTTGTGCCAAGTTTCATCAGTATTGAAGCTTTTTCATAGTTTCATAGCAGTTTGAACTTGTTACAGGAGGCTTTTCAATGAAATCGGCCATTTTTCGCAATATGCTCATGGGGTAAAAGGTTAATATGTGTCGGCCAAATTAAAATAAATTGCCCATTCATAAGGATTTGTTTCATTGTCATATTATTTACATTTTTGAATTGATTAGGTTCCACAAAGTGGCCTGGGGATGTTATGGGGTATCAGAAGACCTGTCTAATGGTGTGATAGTAGGAGGGGGAGACAGTGGGGGCATTTTAGCATATGATGCCTCCAAGTTTTTAGATGGAGATCAGGACTGCCTTATGTTTAAAAAGGATAAACACACAGGAGCTGTGAAGGCCCTAGACTTCAATCCATTTCAGGTAAAAAGATACATTTTTGTTACGTACACTGTTTTATTTCATTGATTTATTTTTAAAAGTTGACTAGGAAAGGTATTAACCTTTGATAGTGATAAGATAAAAACATAAAATATTCTCACATTATGTAAAAAAATTTGGAATTGTATGAGATAAATTTTCCTTAAAATGTTTTTCTTTCTTTGTTGAAATCTTCTTTGCAGCCAAAAATAATTAGCCTGTTTGAATGTTATTTCAGAATAATTTACTAGTTTCTGGTGGAGCGGAATCAGAAATATTTATCTGGGACATGAATAACCCAGATAGTCCAATGACTCCAGGAGCTAAATCGCAGGTTTGTTTTACTTTTTTCTCAGTATGAGAATGACATATGATGTTATACCCTCGTTTATACTAAAAACAACACCAGTAGAAATTTCACACTGATTCTGCTAAACATTTTGAATAGCTGTTATTTTCCATTAGCATTATTTTGTTTATATAAATATGTCAATCAGTTAAAAACATTTAGAACAGTCTTATTGCAGATTTGAAGTGTTGAAATGAATGTTTGATATGCATGATTTTGTACAATCCTGCCAGTGGATTGTTATTTCAAAAGATTTCTTTTTTGATTCTTTCTTTAAATAAAGTTTATTAAGGTAACATTACTTGTTGCAGCCACCAGAGGAAGTTGCTTGTGTATCATGGAACAGACAGGTACAACATATCTTAGCCTCCACATTTACTGCTAGATGTGTTGTCTGGGATCTGAGGAAAAATGAACCAATCATTAAAGTTAGCGACAGTATGTCAAGGGTAAGTTTACACATTATTTTTACAATACTGCTAACATGAAAGAATTTGTCAAAAAGAGTGCTTTAGTCAGTAGTCGTCTGCATTGGCTTAATTTTAGAAAGCATTTATGCATTATTCATATTTTATTACTGCATTTATGTAGCAACTAAGTAATAGTGTTTCTAGATTCTAAACACATTCTTACTGTTCTTCATAGTAAATATCAACTTCCTTATATAACATAGAAACAAAATAAGAGAAGAAATGGCAATAAGAAATATTCTTACTGATAAATTTATGTGTTTTAATTTTGTCGAAGATTGTAATTTGTCACATTACAAACAGTTGCTCTTCTAAGTTTATTAGGTGGTCTATAACCTGATGTATTTATTACTAAGTTGGCATTCCAGTCACAAAATTCCTTCTTAATATATTACATAACAGAAATTTCATTTTATTTTTTAACCATGTTTAACAGATAAAACCAAAGTTGGTATGTTGGAATCCAGAGGTTGCCACCCAGATGTGTTTATCATCAGAGGATGATCATGCCCCAGTTATACAGCTCTGGGATCTCAGATATGCCACATCTCCTGTCAAAGTGCTAGAAAACCATCAAAGGTATTTTAAATCAAGCTTCTAAAAACAAACTGTGGTAACCCTATTCTGACTGATAACCTGTTACATCTGTATTGTCAGATTTGGTTTAAGATTTCTGTTCATCATGCTTGACTGCTTTGTTTTTGGATATGAATTTTTTATATGCATGTATGGTGCTATGTGAAAAGCCGCCCAAGGGCACCAAGTCATTTTTTCATAAGAATGTATGTAAAAAAAAATGTATAAATCTAATTATTTAAGTAAAATTGATTCATGTCATTATGGTCAATTTTCAGATTTGTCTTTAATTTTTCTACTAACATGTGCTTAATTGCATGAAACCCTACCATAAATAGCATTTGTTGAGAAAATGTTAAGTTATATGTTTGTTTGATTTTTACAGAGGTATTTTAAGTATGTCATGGTGTCCCAAAGATCCGGACCTGTTGCTCAGCTGTGCCAAAGATAACAGAATATTGTGCTGGAATCCAAATAGTTCTGCTCAAAATGGAGAGGTAGGCATGGTATACAGAAGATAATGCTCAACATATTACAATAATAATATTATTTTGTTGTAAATTTTACATTTTGTATTGTAATAAGCTCTTTTGACATATCAGGATTGGATTTTTTTAGATTAATGTTCCATTGGATATAGTTCTAGACCAATAACTTGTTTGCAAAATTGCAGATCATTCGCTCACTCTGTTTTGCTGAATAATTATTTGAAAACATGAAAAAAGACTTAAATGGGGATAAGAATAGCATATTAATACAATTTTCAGTTTATTCTAAATAATCTTTTGCATACTTTTCAGTTGTAAGTGCCCCAACTGATCTATGTAATATTAAAATTTTATGTTTGAACTGCAGTGGAGTTCTTTTAATTTATTCAGGAATTCAAACTTTTAATAGTATTGAACTTGAAACAGATTTTGTATAAAATTGATTTTCTGGGATACTAGGTAATAAAAATCAACTGTTTTCTGTTGTAACTAGGTAGTTTATGAGATACCTACCAGTCATCAGTGGAGTTTTGATGTACAGTGGTGTCCAAGGAATCCAAATGTCATATCTAGTTCATCGTTTGATGGTAGTATCACATGTTACTCTCTGATGGGAGGTGGTCATCCAATCCAGCAGATTGATAAGGTAAAATATATTGAATATGAAGCTTTGTATTTGTATTTCTTCTTAAGTTCACAAGTACGATTTAGATAATTAATTATTAGTATAAATATCTCTAATTGAAAGCACATAACATGATATTGTGTTGAGATTGATACTGTTAAAATATCTTGTATATTTTCATTTTTTAACTCTTGATTTAATTTAGCAGTAACAAATATCAGCTGATGATAATCCTACCTGTTTTTCTTTCTTAAAGAAAATATTTGTCCGAAATTGTTACTTTCTAAGTAAAGCTTTATTGAAAAATATGAGTTATATAATATCACTGTGCTTTTCAGGATTTGAACCATATTTAACTCGTACTGAACTGATACTGATAAAATTTGTCCTATATTTTCAGGTGTCTGAATCATTTCTGTCATCTGATCCGTTCACACAAGCAATGCATAGTCAGCAGCAGCAACAACAACAAGAACAGAATGTAATGCCATTACAGAAACCACCTAAATGGCTTAAGAAACCAGTAGGGGCTAACTTTGGAGTAAGTTTACAATAACATTACATGATCATAATCTTATTTAATTATACAGACAACTTTCATAGAAAAAAAGCTGTTTCAGTAAATGGGATAGTAGAAATATTACCATTTAGTTTTGTATGACTGAACAACTGTTAATAACTATTATATGGAATGTGGAAAGATTGCCTTTGAAGTTATTTTTGTGAATCATTAATAGCTTTGCACTTAAGGACTAAGGAGTTTACATCTGTAATAATATTACATTATAGAAACAATTCAAGCTGTAATAAGCCACTGATATAAAAATGTTTTGATTTTGTGACGTTGAACATATTTAATTACTAATAGATGTCAGAATATTTATTCTCCCATTTTGGTCAGTTAAGTAAACATTTGAATATGATAAATGTCTGCAAATCGTAGCACCTTTTGAATTGTATCAATTACATCAGTTCACTTGTAAACGTAAAGACCTGAATAAATTGGGTATTAATTGAACAAGTTTTAAATATGAATCAGCATTAGAAATTCTGTGCCATGAAGGTTGAATTTCGTACAGTAATTTGCAAGAAGATAGACTTCTTATGTATGTTGAATTGTTTTCGATGAGCATCCATTTTGATGATTATTTAAATTTCTTATAGATGAGTTGAAAAGTATAGGTATTACGAAAATTTAAATATGAGCAGCTAGAAAATATTGCTGTATAGTTTGTTCCGTTGTAATTTTGAAATTTTTTTTACAAATTAGTTATTTCTTTTATAGGTCAATTTTGAGAAAGAACCAAGGGAAAAATACATTCAGATGCTAGGATATGACAAAACAGAGCTTGCTACAAAGGTATATCAATATTTCAATATAACTTTTATCAATATTCAGTTTTCATAAAGTGTCTTATTGTAAGAAAACAATGATGTTTTGTCAAATGATTTGCTGAGTTAGCAGGGAAAAAATGTTCATGTTAGCATAATATTCAAGCAAAACATTTTATTATAGTTGGGTGCTATTCTTCCGATATACTTTCAAGTGTCTTGAATTGTGCAATAGAGCTATAACTTGATATCTCTAACCAGCTTTTACTTGCTTTTAACAGCAGCATCACAATGTAATTGCTGTCAATGTATTTAAAGATATACTATGCTCAAATTTAATATTAGAAAATATTGATAACTGCTACACAGTCTCTTTGTAAGTATAAAATGAACAGGTTTTAAGTAGACATGTTATAATTTAAAATTCTACACAGTATAGCTGGTCACAATATGAATATGTACTTTAATTAAAAACTGGCAGTTTGTTTTTAAAAGACCAACTTTATTTGACCTGTAATAGAGAATGCAGCTTCACATACATAGTTTATTCATTCTTTTATTCAAATTAGACATATCCCGTAAGAATTACATAGATTTCAATAAATTTCTGTGATAAGAATATTTTACTCAACGTTCAGCATAGTATATCTTTAATTTTAGTGGGTGGGTTTTAAATAAATTTTCAAGTGAAACATCAAGTAACTGAATTTTTATAAATATAAAATGATTTCAGGTGACACAGCACACAAAAGCAGAGGGGTTAAATGAGTCCATAGGGCCTGGTGTTGATGCTAATGAACTTGCTAAGAAAATGGACCAGCTTGGAACGGGGGTAAGTTTTGTTTTTGACTTACAGTCATATGTGCTTATATGAGGAAATTATTTAAGTAAACTTTCTATATTAAGATACCTTTAGTAGAGATTGTGTATTGTTGTTAAAACATTGAAAATCTGTTGCTCACATTGTTTACTAAATGGGAAAGATTTTTTATTTCTGATAAATGTCACATGTTTTAAGTATTTGTGGTTCATGATTTACAATTTGTTCAAGTTGTCACTTAGACACATATTCTTGATATAAGGAGATTTTTTTTTTCTAGAAATCGAGAAGTACAAATAGTTTTTTTCCCCTTAAGAACATACATTTTTTTCAAGATTTTTTCTCTTAAAATTCATATTAAATGTAGTATCTTTTCAATGCACACATAAAAAGTGATACTACAGTAGTCATTATGATAAAGAAAGAAAATAAACCTGTATTTTCAGTACTTTCTCAGTGTGTTTGAAAAAAATATGATTTTGCTGAGATATGCAAATAGAATGTTATTTATTTACAGGAACCAGGTTCGCAAGCTCTTACTGGCAGTGGTAGAGCTTCCCCAAATGTGGAGGCAAAGGTATAGATTAAACTAATAAAATTAATTAAAGTGCTGATGTAAAGAAATTTTATGAAGTTTTCAAAATCATTAACCCTCATTCAAGAAATTGTTTCCTAAAATTTAAGATATGGGGAAAGTCCTCCAATAAATTTTCCTGATTCTTCAATTTGGCATCTTTGTTTATATGTTTTGAAGTTTTTTGTTCTGATTTACTACAATATTTGGCTTTTCTGTCATGAAGGAAAAGTAGAGTTATTCTGTTTGCTGTGTTTTAACTTTTTTGGGGGTCAAAAGTAGTTATTTTAACAGAAATCAAGGTTTAACACTACATGCAGTGCTCTTGTTATTCATATGGATAGCTTAAGCAAGTTGCTGGAACAACAACATAAGAAGGCGATTTTTACCTTAAAAAAACCCTCACTGCTTGTCAAATGAATTAAAAGTTTCTTCTTGTAAAGTTTACACAGTTATAGCACTGTCATATACTAGTAAATGGGATACCACTGGTTGATAGCAAGAACAATATTTAAAGATAAACTTTTTCAAATTTAAACATGTTCAAGTTATCTGTAAAAATGTTTAATGATTATCAAAAATTGCATTTCTGTAAGATTTAAAGGGTGTGATAGTCTTAAAATACAACATAAAAAACTTGATTATTTCTGTCATTATTGCAGACTCCTGGAAGTAGAGATGAGTTGAATTTCTCAGATGGAGGAGCATCAGCATTTGATGAGATAGGACTTTCTGCTGCTAAATCTGACAAGAAACCAGATGCTCCACTAAGTCTGTCTGCTTCTGATGGTTAGTTTCTCTCATAATTAATTCTTTTTGTCATAATATAACGAGATGAATGTTTGTTGTTGAAAACATTGATTGCAAAGTGTTAAATACTTATTAGGAAAAGAAGAAATTTTGTTATACAGTGATGAGTGAATATAATATACGAAGCTAAAATACTTCCAAATTTTTAAAGTTTTACTTAACAATATTTGGGCATGCTCACATTGCTTAAATAAGGAAAAGCATATTTTTTTCCCCAGATATTGCTTATGCTCATGAGAGATATTAGACATTTTGTTTTCTCTCATGAACAGACTCAATCAAAAAGAATTTACAGTTTTCAACTTTTAATTATCATGTCATGGAACTGAAACGATCTTCCTTTCCAAGAATTTGTATACATATTTTTGTTTTCTGTTCTGGCAGTACTTTTTTTACCTACAAGACATAAATTGTATATTTCAGATGCAGATGGTCTTTTATGTCAAGCATTATTAACAGGCAACTTTGAAGCAGCTGTTGATATGTGTCTGTGTGAGAACAAGATGGCCGAGGCTATACTGTTAGCTATTGCTGGTGGTCCAGAACTTCTTAGCAGGACACAGCAGAGATACTTCCAGAAAAATGGCACAAATCTTGGAAGAGTTAGTATAGCATCAATATTGATTATAATAACATTCTATTTAGAGAATCAAAAATTCTTCAACAACCCTCAATTGATGAAATAGAATATAGTAACACCCAAATAAAGACCACATGTCTATAATGGTCATGTTTGGTCTCTCATTTGGGTGGTCTTGTTCACAGGTTTGTTGTGTATTATCAAAATTTAGAGAGAAGATTCTGTGGCTGTGTGGTTTAGGTTGTTGACTTCAAATCACCCCTTTCTGCTGTGGGTTCATATCCTTTTTAAAGAGAAGAACCTCTCCAAGTGAAAAGGTGGTTTGATCTACTCTAAAATAATACACAAAGGCGCATCTGAGTGCTTTCAGTTATGTAAAAGCTGGTCAGTTTTCAATATTACAGTTACAGGCTGAAAAAATACAACTGAAATGTAAAAAATTTGACCTTGTCTTGATTCTTGCTCAGAAAAAATATCTTTGTTTTATAATTAAGTATTAAGTGGTAAACTCTTAAGTGATATACTAGTAGTAAAATTTTTTACTGATTAGATCCAATATGACATTGATAGATAGGGAATAAAGTTGCATATATTCTCATTTTCAGCTGGTATCAGCTATTGTAACACATGATTGGAGACAGGTTGTGAACAGTTGTGAATTAGACAATTGGAAGGAAGCTTTAGCTGTTATCCTCACTTATTCTCCTGCTGATGAATTCTCTATACTTTGTGGTAAATATTTACTGTTATCATCACTGTGTGGGGGGTTTAAAATTTTGTCACTGATGTTGAATTTTTCCCTGAGTCTGGACACTATGTAACAGGTTTTAGGAAAGTTGATGGATTCTGGTTAGCATGCTTGGCCATTACCTTTAGTAATGACCGGAGCATCTGAGGTCTTTCCTTGAATGTCATTGTATAAAAAAAACAACATAAAAGTTGGTTTTTATTGAACATGCCAATCATGTTTAATGAACATTAATCTACCAGTTAAGTCACAGTTCTATGTAGACTGAATACCCATTTTCAATTTCTATTCTTTTTATTCTGTCTTAGTTTAACAGAGTTCTAACTAACATTTTTACTTTTAATGCCAGAAATACAGGTCATTATATCCCTGAACGAAGTATTTCTGTAAAATTGTATTGCGATGGTTTGTTTTCCTGTCATAGATTGAAGAATCATCGCCCGAGTTCCACATTGTATTTAATTTAAATGATACTAAAAAAGAAATTCAGCTTCTGAAGAGTCCAAAATAATTATGGCAGATTTGATTGTGAAAAGTTTATGCATCATTTAGAATTCTAAGATTGTTTAATATATTTTACTATTATAGATAGTTTAGCAGCTAGGTTAGAAACAGAAGGTAATGGTGAGCTGTCTCCCTATGCTGGTTTATGTTACATATGCTCCGGTAATGTGGAAAAAATGGTGGAGAATTGGATTAACACTACACAGAACAACCAGTCGCCATTGGCCTTACAGGTATGATTGTAAAAATTAAAAATAAAAATTCTCTTTTTTCCTAAGTAACTATTTTGTATTCAAAGGATCTCGTTGGATTGTGGGTTTTTTGATCCTTCAATACCTCAAAGTTAGAAACAATGGCATGTATTTATTTTTTTGAAGTTAAATGTTAGTTTCCAATGTTATACATGAAGCTAAAAATCATGGAATGTCCTTTTTGAAGTCTAAACTATCTGATTGTGACTTTATTGAAGACACATTTAATATCCTTTCAAATTTCAATTTAATAAAGATAAAAAAAACATTCACATTTGAAATGATGAGGATTTATTATGTTGAATTTTGTTTGAAAATAAATGTCTATGTATTGTTGGTTCCAGGATCTTGTAGAAAAAGTGATGCTGTTACGCAAGGCAGTGGAAACTTCAAGAGGCCATGCACCTGAAATCACAACTGGTGTACTAGCAGATAAACTGAGTAACTATGCAGAGATTTTGGCTGCACAAGGCCGCCTAGATACTGCTTTGCGATATCTAGGTGAAAGTTCAGAGGTATTTTTTACATTCTGTATACATTGTAGAGATATACTTAATTTGATGTACACTAGGAATTGCTTTATGTAAACACTTGTCGGTTAGATGAAATATAAGCTAATTTGATAGGATGTACTGAGAGTTTAAATGATCAAATACCAGGTTTTCATTATTAACAGATTATCAATCAGTATCAGCAGTTGAAATGCTGTTAAGATTTATTGTATTTTCAGCCAGTAGATCCCCTTGACCCTTGGCTAAATCGGTTGTTTTTGTTGGCACAACTGTTGATATAGATAAAAATGAAAACCCTGCAAATAAATTATACACAAATATGTCATGAATAACAATTGTGAGGATCAGTTTTATAAAATATTTTTGATAAAAGAAAATTTTGATGTTAAAACTATGATATATAAGTTTGTTCAAATGTTGTATCATATCTGCTGTTACTATTTATAGGTTAGCCTAACAGTATTGAGGGACAGATTGTACCAGGCCCTGTCAGTTGTCCCACAAGGTACATCAGTTCCACAATGCCCCTGGCAGAAAGTAAATGTTGCCCCGCAGTCAAAAGCACCGAGTCAGCAAAGACCAGCAACATACCAGGCTACTGCTAACTCGACATTCAATACAAACACAACAGGTAAATACTGTTTCAAATGAAATTGGCATAGTTTGTAATTAAATGACCCAAGTATAATTTCCCTGGCTTTGTACATTGCACTGTTTGGCTATATACTAGTATATATTGCAAGAGTTTAAAGTTTGAGTGGATTTGCTAATGAGACTTTAAAACCAATGTACAGTGTAGTTGTGCCTCTAACCTTGTATTTTGAAGAACCAGTTGTTACTTTTGGAAGAAATGATCTATACTTTACACTATGGTAAAAAAACAACCACACAATATTATAGCTTACACGTTATTGGGAATTTGCCCACCCTATTCTCAAGTGATAAAAAATTTCATTGTTCTTAATAAATAAGAATTTTAAGACTTTAATAATAAAGATTCCTTGTTGAAATTTCAATTAAAATTGTTGTTACCATCCATATTTCATTTTAGGTTAATTGCTCATGTTTTCACGATATTTCAATTTTAGGGACATATTCTAGTCAAGGTCAGTATTCTAATCAATATTCAACCATGAATGGTACATCAGTACCTGCATACAGTGTTAACAACCCATTAACTGGACCTGGCACATCGTCAGTGCCGGCATATAATAGTCAGACAGGTGCACCGTCTTCACCAACCAACAAAGGTCCTCTGAGTCACAAGTACCCCCAGCCAACTGTAGGATATCCTGGAGCTGCACAATCTGACTATGGGATAAATACCTACAATCCTATGGACTATAACACCAATCAGCCAGCACATCAACCTTATGACTATGGGTAAGATATATTATTAACACTTTGGTCAAACCACTTGCCCCTGTCTGAAGCAGGTTCTCAAATCATCTCCTAAGTGATCTTGAATTTTCTTGTGTAGGAGCTATCAAGACATTTTGAAAGAGATTTCTAACTTTCTTCCTGCTTATCCCCGAAGTATTAATTGAGAGCTGTCTTTGGTTTTATTTTGTCAATAAAGCTGTAAAATTGTAGGATTGATGTAACTTCAAGCCTTTCCTGAAAAAAAAATGTGTTCATACTTAGAATGTTAAAACTAAAAGTTTATTATAAATAGAATATATTTTATAGATTCAGAACCAATTTAGTATGAAAAAGGGGGATTTACTTATTATTTAGTATTTTAGAATTTTTTTTCTGCTTGGGTTTAAATTACAGTATGAAGTGTTAATTTTCAGAAAGTTCAAGCCATTTAATGAAAGTGATATTTGTGATTTCTTTCTTTAACATTAAATAAACATCATGTCGTTAAATGATTTATGATGACAAAATAGGCTATCATGTAATATAAGTTCACAATGGTTTGGTAACTGGTTTGTTTATTTATAACATTGTTTAATTTTAGTACACAGTATCAGCCAACAACAGTGACACAACCATCAGGGCCTTCTCCAAACATGTACCAAAATAATACACAAGGTGAGTTGACAAAGGTTAATTCTTGATATGTAAAAAAAAGCAATATTTAGTTCTCGTTTTTCCACCTTTTGTAACCAACATGAGCTGTTATTTTTTTAAGGCACTGGAAATATTTTACTTGAACAATTTCTTTTATGAAAGTTTTGAACATAATAATATTTGTTTTCAATTCAAATAATCAATTGTAACAAATATTGACAGTGTTTTTAATATATTATTTTATTTTCAGGATATGGTCAGCCTCCTGTAGCTGGGGGTATACATCCTAATTTCCACTCTTTCCAGGATTCTAAACCTGACAAAGCATGGAATGATCCCCCTATGGTAGTGAAAAAAGATAAACCAAAGGTAAATGTTAACTAACTGTATAATGCTTGACTTCAATTGTATTCTTCTTTTGTTTTTATGCCTCCACTACTTACATGGGGATGGATATAGATTGACTCTTGTCTATCTGTCCTGCTCTGACAAAACAGTGAAATGTGGGGGCATCCATTTTCTATCAGTACATCATTTAGTTGATATGTATGTTTCAGCACCAGAGTATTTTGGTCAATCTGCCATAAAGCAGTTATCTGACCTTATTGTTCCTCATTTCTGTTCACCTTTTTGTCAAGCTAATTGCACAGGCTATTTCTATTCTTCAGTTAGAATATAATTAACTATATGTTGGTATATGTTCAACTACATTTATTATTCATATTAACTAAACCATTAGATGTCCAAGATCAAGGTTATATAAACACTTTGTTTGAGAAATTAAGCTTTGTTTGAGAAATTAAGAATTTGTTTGAGAAATTTTCATTGAAATTGACAATAATATCAAAATATTATTTAATACATGTAATATTGTTGTTTTTTCTTTTTTGGTGCTGAAAAATTTATGTATATGTTTTGTCAAAATAAAATTGAGCATAATTTTTCTTTCAAGTTTTCTTTCAAGCATTTATAAATTTACAGTTTGTATTTCATGTCAGTTGTAGCAATGTCTAAAATCTGTTTGACAATTCTGTGTATTTTTATTGTAACAGCCCCAGCCAACAGATGTATCACCTATAACCAACCCTATATATGGTGGTCAACAACCGGTACCAGACCAGGGTCAACCAGCTGCTCAAATGAACTATGGTAATTTTTACAATCCCCAGGAGTACAAGCCTGAACCTCAGGTGAGAAGCGCAAATTATACACACAAGTATATATTATTAACAAAAACAGTGAAATGTGAAATTTTCTGCACAAGTTCTGGCTGTTATATCAGAGATGCCTTGTATATTTTAACTATTCATACCTTAACACAACTACAAATTTTTTTGAAAAGTGTTATACCCTATTTAGATATTTTCAGAGTGTTTTCGAAGTGACATTCAAACATGCTGGGTAATAACATTTCTGTATATTGCTAAATATTGCTCAGGTGACTTCCAAAAGACTTTAATGAAATAAAAAGATTTTTAATTGGTTTGTTAATGTTAATAATCTTTAATATCTTATCTGCATATATTATTTTGCATTGAAATCTTCTGAATTGTACACTGGTATGTAATGAAGGAGAATATACAAGGCTTCAGAGTGTGCTGTGAACTAGAATTATATCAATGGCTTGAGTTTTATCTTTCACTGTAATTTCTTGCATCGTATATCATACTCTAACTGAAAAAAAATTTAGACATAGTTATTTAGATGTCACATAATAATAAATGGTATAAAACTCCCTTGAAGACAAAAACTTGATGTCATAATTAAATTACTGTTTGGGCACTAACAGTGATAATGGGAAATTTATTTTACTAACCTAAAGCCTAGCAAGCATTGCTCATTACTGCCAAATAGCTTATTATATACATCTGGGTTTTCATTTTTAGTATTCAAATTCTTTACATATTATACATATTTAAAGGCATCATTACTTTTTTATGTGAATTGTCAGTTTCACATAAAGCTAAAAAAAAACCTAAGCTATTTATAGTTTTTGGCTAACATGACGCGAAAATGGCAGTTTAAAGAGTGAAATTTTATACCATTGAATGTCATAAGTATATATCTCCAGGGACATGTTGTAGTATAACACAAGGGTTGACAACAGTTTCAGATCTTTTGGGAGTTTTATACCAATTCAACAACAATATAAGTTATTATATAAGTAGACAGTTTTTTAACAGATTTAGTTTCATATATTCTTACTGTTCAGTTATCTTATATCTGTAAATATCATGTATTTTAACATCAGTTCTGTATATTTGACATGTTTATTTTTGTTAGATTTTTTTTTAATGTTTTCTCATTTAAAGCTTTTGTTGTCTGCATAAACAGACAGCTTGATTCTCTATTCACATAGATAAAAGCAATTTTATCTAGTTGAACTTCCTAAATTAATTGTGAAAAAGACTTGTATTTGGCTTACTTTTTTACAATATTTTACTAATCTTGTTCAAATTTCAATAAAAATAGCTTAAAGCAATTTTTAGATTGTATTTGTAAACTTTCTCTGCTATATTTGACCTATTGTGAATAGAAATCTTACTTTGATTTCATGCTGCAAATATTCAATGAAAAAGTTTGGCTGCTTTCTCATTTTGCAAAAGCTTGCCGGTTTTCCAATTCGAATTACATTGCCCCATAGATAGGCATGTTGTAATCAATGTCTGTTTACCTGTCTAGTCAAGCAAATGGAATAAGTAAACAGTAAAAAACAAAACCAGATTCATTTTGTTAATACAAAATAAGTAGCCATGGCCATTTATTTGTTTAGCAAAACAAAACTTATCTCTTATTCCATTTTGGTAGAATTTTTAATTTGTTCCGTAGTCTGAAATCATGTAAGAATCATTCTTTCATGAATTTTCTTTTAAAATTTCCCACAGATGTTATCATGATGTGGCGTGCAAGGTTCATGCGGAATATTGAGGCAAGATATGGAGAAACAGTTTTATATGTCCAATTTAAAACTTTGTCATTCTGTGTTAGATTTTGAAATTGCTTGGCACATACTTTCACCATTGGAAAACAAGTAGAGATTATCTTAGGGGTATATGTGTCATCTTTATTGTCACATCTTGTTTTTTATGCCACCGCAGCATCTGCGATGCGGTGGCATATAGCGATTCACCTGTGTGTGTGTTTGTTTGTGTGTGTGTGTGTGTGTGTGTGTGTGTGTGTTATATAGATTACATAGTGAACTTAAAAAATCTTCTTGTGAAAAACCACTTGTCCAATTTCAACTAAACTTGGCAGGATTGATCCTTGGGTGAAGGGCTTCCAAAGTTGTTCAAAGAATTTCATTCCATGCAGAAATCTGGTTGCCATGGCAACCAAAAGGAATTATAAGACTAAATTTAAAAAATCTTCTTGTAAAGACCCAAAAGGCCTAGAGCTTAGATATTTTGCATAAGGCATTGTCTGGTAGACCTCTACCAAGATTGTTCAAATTATAGCCCTGGGGTCAAAATCGGCCCCGCCCCGGGGGTCATTGATTTTCACTATATGTACATATAGTAAAAACTTAAAATACCTTCTTGTAAAGACCTAAAAGGCCTAGAGTTTAGATATCTTGCATAAGGCATTGTCTGGTAGACCCTTACCAAGATTGTTCAAATTATAGCCCTGGGGTCAAAATCGGCCTGCGCCAGGGGTCATTGATTTTCACTATATGTACATATAGTAAAAACTAAAAATACCTTCTTGAAAAGACCCAAAAGGCCTAGAGCTTAGATATTTTGCATAAGGCATTGTCTGGTAGACCTCTACCCAGATTGTTCAAATTATAGCCCTGGGGTCAAAATCTGCCCCGCCCCGGGGGTCATTGGTTAACCTTATATGTATATAGTAAAAACTTATAGTAAAACTTTAAAAAAAATTCTTCTAGCAATTGACAAATGCTAAAGGTTAGATATTTTGCATGAAACATTGAGAAGTGAACTTCTAGCAAGATTGTTCAAATTATAGCCCTGGGGTCAAAATTGCCTGCGCCCCGGAGGTCATTGATTTTCAATATATACATAATAGTAAAAATATCAAAAAATCTTATTATCTGAAGGTTCAAGGCTTAGAGCTTTAATATTTGTTAAATGATATCATCTATAGGTACTCTACCAAAGTTGTTCAAATTTGTCTCTAGTGTCAAAATTAGCCCCGCCCCGGGGGCCATAGGTTTTCCTTATATGTATATAGTAAAAACTTAAAAAATCATCTTCTCTTCATTTACAAATGCTAGAGTTAAGATATTTTGCATGAAACATTGTGTAGTGAACCTCTAGCAAGATTTTACAAATTATAGCCCTGGGGTCAAAATTGGCCCCATCCCCAGGGGTCATTGATTTTCACTATGTACATATAGTAAAAAATTCTAAAATCTTCTTGTCTAAAGGTACAAGGCTTAGAGCTTTGATATTTGGTATATAATATCATCTATGGGTCCTCTACAAAAGTTGTTTTAATTATGCCCCTAGTGTTAAAATTGCCCTGCTCCAGAGGCGATAGTTTTCCTTATATGTATAAAATAAAAACTTGAAAAATTTTCTTCTCTGAATTGAAAAATCTTCTTCTTTGAATTGACATAGGCTAGAGGTTAAATATATGGCATGAGACTTTGCGAAGTGAACCCTTACCAAGATTGTTCAAATTATAGCCATGGGGTCAAAATTGGATCCGCCCCGGGGGTCATTGATTTTCATTATGTACATGAAGTAAAAAAACAAAAAATATTTTTGTCTGAAGGTACAAGACATAGAGCTTTGATGTTTGCTATATAATATCATCTATAGGTCCTCTACCAAAGGTGTTCAAATTTTTCCCCTGGTGTCAAAATTGGCCCTGCCCGGGGGCAGTGATTCTCATTATGTACACATAGTAAAAGCAGAAAATAAAACAAATGTTTTCTGAATGGGAGAAAGCTACAGCTTAGATATTTCACTTGAAATGTTGTTTGGTGGACCTGTATCAAGATTGTTTTGAATTAAACCCTTGGGTCCAAAATTTTGCCTTGCCCAAAAGGACAGTGACCTACTTTCTTGTCCTTTGATGTACAGCAATGAAATTTTGACCATGTGCACAGTTTTAGTTGTAAAATTGAACTTTGATATCAGGTGACCTAGATTTTGATGATGTGACCTACTTTCTTGTCCTTTGATGTACAGCTATGAAATTTGAACCAAAATTGTGCACAGATTAAGATGTAAAGTGAACTTTGATTTCAGCTGACCTAGATTTTGACAGTGTCTTACTGTATTGTCCTTTGATGTAGTCATGAAATTTAGGATGTGTGAAATATGACCTTCACCACCAAATTCACTAGACTCACGTTCCTACTCTGATCTTTTATTAAATTAACAACAGATTTAACCACTAATCTGATAATAAGAATTAGATTATTTATAAGGTCAGGGATCTATGCATTATGACAATCTTCAAAATTGTATAGAAACAAAAAAAAATCTGTTCCTACACTACTTTTTAGTATTGTATTAATGCGGTGGCATAGCATTTTTCTCAAATGCAATCTTGTTTTTCATTGAGTATTTGAGCCGTGTCACGACAAAACCAACATAGTGCGTTTGTGACTAGCATGGATCCAGACCAGCCTGCGCATCCGCACAGTCTGATCAGGATCCATGCTGTTCCCTATCAGTTTCTTTACTTGTAATAGGGTCTGAAAGCGAACTGCATGGATCCTGATCAGACTGTGCGAATGCGCAGGCTGGTCTGGATCCATGCTGGTCGCAAACGCATTATGTTGGTTTTGTCGTGAAGCGGCTCATTTGTAGCTTGGCTTATATAACTTTATATATATCTTAACCTGACTCTCTTCTCTATCAGAAATTTGCAACAGCACCACAATCTACCTACACTAACAGCCATGTTGCACCAAAGGTGAGATCATATTTGATTGAAAGCAAGGAAATATCAATATGTCATTTGTTTAAATTGATGCATTATTTCTTACAACTTTGTCATGTATTTTTTGAAAAAACAGCACTGTTTGGCATGGCTTAGTTATATGTTGTGCATAGGTTTATATAAAAACACATAGGTTTGAATTGTTGATATTTAATGTTATCTTTATAAAACAATACATACTTATCACTGACATAAAATCAAGTAATTAGAATATATTTCTTTTTTTGTTTGGTAGTGTTGCTTTTAAAAATGGTACCTTGGTCTTACAAAATAAAACAGTTCTAATATTTAATCTAATAAATTTGCCTAATAAATTGACTAGTTTATTTGACTATTTCATTGATTTTCATTAAATCTTTCATATAAGCACATGCAAAAGTTAGTAAATTTTTATCATTCCAAACTTTGAAGAATTTTGTAGTAAACATTTCTTTATGTGTAATGTTAACAAATGTTACTCTGTTATCATTCATGTAAGAAAGCTATCCAGCAAGCTTACGGAACGTTGGTGGTTCTACTTAGTTGCCCATTTGTTGCCTGAAATAATGCAGAGCGGCATCTGAGGTCTTCCTGAGACAGTAAAGCAGGAAAACAAAAAACAAAAACAAAAAATTTAACAAAACTAAATTTGTATAACGAATTTGCCCTGCTTTGAATTTTAAACAGTCAGAAGGGATTTCAAATCCAACCAAGAGTATAAATTATGGTCAGACTGATCAGAATGATGTTCATGCTGACCTGACTATACTGATGGGAATGTCTAAAAACTGTCAGTTTCCAGCAGGTTATTGGTGTTAAACTGTCAGTAAACAGCTAGTTATATGTTTTCAGCCTGCCATGCCAGAACCTGTGAAAGAAGTTCCAAAAGCACCTTTACCAGAGGAACATAAAGTCTTACAAGATATATTCAACAATTTGGTGCATAATTGTCAAGCCAGAGCAAATAATGCTGTGAGTACTTCATTTTTACCATAGAACTCAGTTTTTAGCTGGACTATACATAGAATAGGGGGTGTAATTGTACTCATTTAGGCATCAGCATCACACTTTGATAAAGTTTATGAGTGCAAGTTGGTATCTCTAAAAATACTGAAGGGAATGGGTTGAAACTTAATACACTTGTGCCCTGTTGCTACCTTATATGGTTGGTACACGTCCCATAACTCTTTAGTTAACTTTTTACAGAATTACCCTGAAATGCCCCTTTTCTTACTGTCAAGTATGGAGAATAGTCGAGTGTGCTTTCTTACGGATAGCTCATATGATATTGATTATGCCTGCATTTTCTTGTTTATGTTTCTTCCTGGATATCTATAGTAAATCAATAAATACAGATACCATTATAGATAGTAGTTTTAAATTTACTCCAAAATTATCAAATGATCCATCTTGATGACATGATGACGTTATATATTCTAAAATCTATTCAGTGATTAATCTAGATGTGCGTCTTGCGTAAAATACGCATAAAAATCGAAAAAAGACGCACAGTTTCAAAATATGTGCGTTCAATCTGACGCATGCAAATCAGGAAGTTTATAATCCAAAATATCACGATTAGTGATTTCTATGTACAGATTGATTACTTTAATTTCATTAGTTTTTTCAATTTCTTCAGTTGAATAATTTAATTTCCGATGATAACAGGTGCAAGACTAATCCCCCATTTGCTTGAAACGTTAAATCCCAAGCAATTGTTGCTTGTGATCGGTAACCGCCCATTATCGGCATTAGCCAATCAGAGCGCCCATTTTGCATCAGAGCGATTCGCCTACAATGGTGAAATATGCAGACATTGGCGCTAAAAAATGAGAAGAGCACAGGAAAATCGTCAGCAAATGGCCAAAGGCGCATCTAAAATCTGTCCCAGACTTATATTGTATGTTATTTAGTCATCCAGACAAAACTGGTACCAACAGCAACAGGTTACCCATTCCCCTGTAATTACGCATATTCTTGAGTTTATCCATTTCCCTATAGCATTTTTCCAAGTTATCTACTTACCTAATCCCTTTCCCACCTACTACTGCATTTCTACAACCGTAAATTTAATCCAATAAAGCAAACAAAAAATCATTAATCTACTTAATATTTTAAATAATTATCGGTAACTGAAAAAAAGTGTTGCTATTTTAAGAAATGCTGTAAGTTACAGTATAATCTGACAGGTGTGTAATGATTTCCCCTAAGGTCACTCAAGTTCACGTGGAGTGTAAAAAAAAAAGATGTCTATTACGTCATCAGAATATTTGACAGGGTGATTAACCAATCAGGGTAACATTGTGCATGATCAAAAGGTCTGTCTGTGTATGCTTTCTACACAGAGGCATACAAGGAGCAATATAAGTCGTCAGTATGTATACAGTGTGAGAGGGACATTTTGTGCAAATTACGAACAATTAAAATGGATAATGCACAGTATTAGACATAAGTAGTAAGAAAATATAAATTATGCAAATTAGATTTTTGAGCAGCCAATAAAAATTGTTTTGCCTGCAATTAATATTAGCACCAAAAATAACTTTTTTATGCACTTTAATTACTTAATCGCTTGTTATTAAAAACATGCAAATCATGTCAAGGATCTGCTATTAAAAAGACGCATTTATTTTGCTACATGACTCATTGATTTTGCTACAGGACTCATTGTTTTCAAACATGTGCGTCATCCGACGCATTGTAAGGAATTTCTAGATTAATCACTGTCTATTTATAGCAAATGAAGAGGAAGTTGGATGATGTAATGAAGAAATTAGAAGTTCTCTATGACAGACTTAGGGATGGAACGGTAAGTGGATTTAAGAAAACATTAGCTAGACTAGTTTAATTTGTCAACAATTAATAGAAAGTCTTAACTGAGTTGACAGCTCCTTCAGATCTTAATGCATGTATTTATGTTTACATGCTACAGTAAGTGTTGAATAGATGCTTTCTTATTATATGCATTACCTCCCCTGATTGCCAGGTTATTTCCAATGACTTATTATATCAAAGATAAAATATTGCACAATTTTATTATTTTCTTATTCGCTAAAAGATCCTGTAACTCAAATTTTTTTATGTTCTTATATCTTAAATATGATGCTCAAATGAAGATTTATCAATATTGTAAGTTCCAAAAAGCATTATTTGTAAAGATATTAAATTTACATTTTGATGTTAGTAAAGAGGGGTAATTAGAAATTTATTTTCGATAAAGTCTTGGCCAAATTTTTTCTATAAGAAATGAATGCATATATTTTAATGATTACTTAAAATGCGTGTAAACATTTGCAGTACATATGTAAAATATTCTCGGATGTTTGAAAATTTTTTTACAAGAATAATTATATACATATATAAAAATTCACTGAAGTGTGGTTACATCCTTTATTACAACATACAGGATCTTTAAAATATGGGTAATTATTCTAATAGCATTATTTACTTTAATGCATTTTTACATTTTATATACTGTAAATCATTGAATATTTCAGTTATCGCCAGCAGTTATTCAAGGTTTACACCAGATTGTTCAGACTATACAACAATATGATTATAACACTGGACTTGGAATATACACACAAATGGTTAGTCAGGGAAATTTCTCAGAAATCAGCAGTTTTATGCCAGGATTGAAGATGTTGATACAGTCCGCGGCACATCTACAAGTTTATGTACAATAACTGAACTCTTCTCTAGGATTATTATGCTTTTAAATTTTAGGATGGCATTTTATACAGCATATAATACTTATTTGAACGTTCCATGATTGTTCTGGACATTGTTCTTTTTTTGTCTGAGGTAGTTCTTTTATTTTTACCCTCAAACAATGCTGTTTATGAAATTGCTAGGAATAAAATAATTTTTGAATTAATTGTTATCATCTATATATACATGTGCCAGATCAAATGGGTATAACTTTAACTTAAAATTTGTGTAAGAGTGATTCATTTTTAGTATCCTTAATAATTTTCCACCATCTAACATACTTTAGAAAGAGAGCAATCCTATATTGAATAAGTAAGTTTAAACTAAGGCTAATTCTAATGGTAATAGCTTTAAGTATGTATGGATAGGCAAAGTATATTTTCAAGTATTATAATATTTTATCTAATAATCTGTCAACCTGAAAAATTACTTATAAATAAATTACACATAAGCTTGTAGCTGCATAAAGAAACACTTGAAAATTTATTAGAGTGAAAATATCAACCCAACATTTAAACTTGATAGCAAATATATGTTTTTGATTATAAATAAAGCTATCATAGTTTATCAGTTATTATAAAGACATCTGTATCATTGGTACTGTTAACATTGAGAACTTCAGCAGAAATATTGTCTTGATGTGCTACCAAAAAAATAGCCACTTAGACTTGCATGTCTGCACAAACCGACCAAAATTTTTTTAGAACTACATGATTTTATCATTCTGCAATAATCATTCTGCAGTGACATAAATTAGCATCATTCAGTGCTAAATTAACTCTATATTGTCTATATTAAACACTTAACCAGGTTTATGGTTTAAACCATATAACAACTATATTTAAGTATTAATTAGCTCATTTGTAACAGAGCTCATTTTAACATGTCTGCTGTTTTATAGTAAGCTAATTATGAGCATGCTTATTTTTATATCCTCATGTTGTTATAAGCTCATTTATTGATGTCATATGAGAGAATATATGTGTGCCATTGTTATGTGTTATATATAAATTATAAATGATTTTTGATGTGTTGATAATGATCTGATGAATTGATTGAGTAAATTTCTGTCATTCAAAATGTATGAATGGATATGTCTTAGTTCTGTGATTGTTAGAAATAAAAAGTTGTAACATAAATGTTATTAATTTGTGTTCTTTAACTCTTAATTGTAAGGGACTTGTAAATTATGTAGAAGGAAAATTTTCTACATATTACTGTGTGATATTCTCATAGACATCTTGTTGCCTCCAAGTGAATGTTCATGTCTTTTTGCATAGGTTAGTGTTTTTATTAGTAAGCATTTACAAAATTAAATTGTTCAAGAACGTATTGAGCCATCGGACCAGTTTAATTATGTTAACAATGACAAATGAACACAAACCAATTTAGCTTCAAAAATATTTCTATATACAGGCGATGTACATGACTGATCAGTTGTTGATTTACCAGAGTAAATGTGTTTATAATTTATTTGGAATACTGCAATCCTATTGGACAAAAAATAAATTTATCTAAACGCCAACCAGTAATATTTCTATATGTTTAAAGTTTTACCTTTGTGTAATAATATGCAAAATTGTTCCTCCTGAAATTGTTAAAGAATATACATTTTTTGCTGCCTTTGTTTCATCTTTGACCATTTTATGTTGTGCATAACATACAGATCAAACATTGAGAGATAGTGTAAACTTAGATAGAAAATCTATGTTGTTTTAGATATTCATGTATCCCTTTTGTGGGCTACTCCTCAAAACTATTGGTGCAACTTCATCCCAACTTTACAGAAATGATCAGTACCAAGTGTTGTTGCCCATCATTTTCCAGTTCAATGATTTTTATGAGAGTAATGGCTGAGAATTTTTTTTTTTAAGTTTGTCTGGACTTCTCTGCTTATTCCATTAATGCAGTTTGATTGAAACTTTACAGTATTGACCGGTACCTTAAGTACATGCCTATATTACTTTGGTTTTCTGGTTAACTGATTATTTACTGAAATATGGCATTTTGGCCTGTTAATTATTTTTGTGTCTCTTGCTACACAGTAGCTGCAACATGCCACATAGTAGTCTCCACTTGTAGGGAATAAACTGTCCAATTATCCCTCAGTAAAACTGCTTAATTGGCTATCATTGGGCGACACATGATTACCTTAATGTGATCACTGATCACTCTTTTTTAAAACTCTTTATTTTTTGCATAATAAATTCTGTCATTGATTACAAGTAAAATCAAAACTAGATAGAGATTAAAGTAGAACTAGTTAAGTAGTCATATTTACTCAGCGATGATAGAAAGTATTTTGTTTTGATGATTTTTTTATCTCTGTTAATTGTTATTTCTTTAGAAACAATGTGAAATGAGATTGTAAAGTTGACTAGTTGATTGCTTACTAACTAAGTTAGTTTCTTTACCTTCCACTGTGTCCAAAATATCTGATAGATTGTTCTTCCCGAACAACCCTCCCTCTAGTTTACCCGAACTACCCTCCCTCTAGTTTCTTGTTGTATCTTTTCTCATTCGGTTAATATCCTCGGTATTTCCCCTGAGAAATTATGTCATAATCTCCTTGTTTTATATTATTTTCATGCATACATTTCTAAGTTGATTAAGATGCAAAAAATGAATGTTTGAAAGATTCAGTTTTACTTTAACCTTCAGAGAGAGAATGAAAGTTACAGAACTTCTAAGTTCTTTTCATATTTAAAAAAATGGCTAGTCAGTAGAACCATAAAAAACGTTAATGATTTCTTTTATACAACTGATTATAAAAGATGTTGCTCTTAAATATATTATTGATTGACAGATTTAATTATATATTCATGTAAGATGTTAATATTTTATTTATTGGACTGATTTGATTTATGATAACTATGTGAAAAAAAAATTAAATATTTTGAAGCAAACAAATCTTATTTTTTCATTTGGTTGAAAAAGGGAAAAAAAACTGTCATTTAACCCCTTGTTGAAAAAGAAGAAAAAACTTGTCATTTAATCCCTCGTTAAAAAAAATGTCATTTGACCCCTCGGTGAAAAAAACCTTGTCATTTGACCCCTTGTTGAAAAAGAAAAAAAAATTGTCATTTGACCCCTTGTTGAAAAAGAAAACAAACTTGTCATTTGACCCCTTGTTGAAAAAGAAAACAAACTTGTCATTTGACCCCTTGTTGAAAAAAACCTTGTCCTTTGACCCCTTGTTGAAAAAGAAAAAAACCTTGTCATTTGACCCCTTGTTGAAAAAGAAAACAAACTTGTCATTTGTCCCCTTGTTGAAAAAGAAAACAAACTTGTCATTTGAACCCTCGTCTGTGTCAGCTAAAATAATTTTGATGTTTTCTAGCTCACCTGTCAGAAAGTGACATGGTGAGCTTTTGTGGTAGCTTTTCGCCCGGCGTTCGTCCGTCTGACGTCTGTAAATGTTTACTTTAAACGACATCTCAAACCGCTGAGCCAATTTCATCCAAACTTCCCGGAATGTTCCTTTGGTGGTCACCTTTAGATATTGTTCAAAGAATTTAATTCTATACAAAACTCTGGTTGCCATGGCAACCCAAAAAAAAACACTTAAAAATCTTCTTTCAAAGAACCCAAAGAGCTACAGCTTAGATATTTGGCATGAAACATCTTCTAGTGAGTGTCTAATAAACCTTAGGGTCAAAATTGGCCCCACCTCAGGGGTCATTGTTTTCCATGTTTGTATATAGTATAAACTTAAAAACTCTTTAAATAACAACCAAAGAGCTAAAGCTTAGATATTTAGCATGAAACATATTCTAATGAGTGTCTATCAAGTTTGTTCAAATAAACGCCCTGGGGTCAAATTTGGCCCCGTCCCGGGGGGATCATTGATTTTTCTTATATTTGCATAGTAAAAACTTAAAAAGTCTTTTAAAAAACCAAAAGAGCTTGAGTTTAGATATTAAGCATGAAACATTTTTAGTGAGTGTCTACCAAGTTTGTTTAAATAAAAGCCGGGGGTCATTGAATTTCTTTATATGTATATAACATTTTTACACATGCACTATTTAAGATACAAATATGAACTTTGTGATATCAGTTTTATATCTGCTTTGGTTTATAGCTTACATTATTATTTGTTCCTGGTCATGGAGAGTTTCTATATACAGGTGTGAGCGATTTCAGGGCCATCAAGGCCCTATTGTTTAATTAACATCTAACAATCAATCATACCTGCGTTTGCATTTGTCATATTTGTGCGTGCTAGAGTACGTACGTGCATGTGCGTGCGTGCATGTGTGTTGTATCATGGGAAGAAACATAAGTTGCTAATGTCACTTAATGAAGAATCTTGAGAACTTTAACCAACTCGTTCATTATGGCAATGACATTACAAATACTAATATTTTGCTACATCATCGACAATTTTTGTATTTTTCACACCTATTGTCAATTACTTAAAGTTTGTATGGAAGAAGCGCAAAAATTTAACAGCTTACTAACAACTTCCAATATCTATACAAGCTGAAGAAAACAGAACGGACATAAATAGACCATGCTTTTCTCAGATGGTCATATTCTGTTCATTTGATGAAACAAGAAAAAGCTATATTAACTTAAAATGGAGGAACGTTTTCAGATGTTAGACGAATTGTTCGTAGCGGATCAGAAGTTGCGACGAGCATGTACCCAGATTATTCAGCTTAACCACAAGATGGAAATGTTAAATCAACGATTACTGTCAGCTGACGAAGACGGGAACCAGCGATTCTGTAGCATCATTCAGACCCGTATGCTTGTTGTTGACGGAATGTTGAACGTTTTCGGGAAGTACACCAATCTCAAGAAGCACGAGGTTCTAGAACTTCGCTTCAAGCTGTTCGGGGAACGACCAGAACCGGATGTCGACGAAGAAAACGAAGCTGACGAATAAAACGCACGTCTGCTGCAGCCTCAGGTGACCTGTGTCACCACAAATTTTTCGAAAGAGCTATCTTTCAATATTGTCATAATACAAAAATAAAGAATAAAGTATGAATAAAAGAAACTTTTCCCGATCTGATTATGTGCATTAAAATTGTTTCCTATAATTGTACTTTGCATTGAATTATAATTATAATTCAGCATTTAACATTTGAATTGTATTAAATCCATTAAAAGGATGTACTCCGTGAATTCTACGCTTGTTTTGATAAATATGAATATAAATTTACATTGCTATGTAAAATATATCTTCATGATCAGAACAAACCCCTTGTGTAAGATGTAGTGAATTAAGTCAGAAAATTGTTTCTAGTGCATTGTTTTTCAATTTATCGTCGACTAAGTAAAATATAATCGTTGACAGCACCTTATTTCAATGTCAACGAAATGGATGGCACTTTACATTTAGTTTCTTAGCGTCGGTTAGAGCTAAATAGCTAAGTTTCAAAATAATTCATGAAATCTATATTTTATTATTGAAATATTATCCAAAACATTATCAGAAATATATATCTAAGAACCTCCCTTTATGAACAGAAGTCGGTCGCATCTTTCCCAGGAATGCGTTTTGTAACTTAAGAAATTGATAATTCTTCATTTGAACAACAAATTTATCATATAAGACTTTTTGCGGTTCATGGGCATTAATTGTAGGTAATAAATCGCTAAACAGAACCAATTCTAAAACGAAATGGTTAAAGAAATATACATTTATTACATGTCAGGAACTGACTAAAATACAATTCATGAACAACAATATAGATCTATTACGAAATGACCTTGTATAAGACAATAATTAAACAAAATGATAATATATAAATAAAACAAATTGAATAAAAAATCATTACATTTCTGAAACATGCAAGGTTCTTTAAATGATATACTTAAACAGTTATCAATGGAATTGTTACCGTCAATCTTTAAAAAATCTCCATGTTTTCAACTTACAAAGAAACATAAAACAGTGTAAACCACGAAAGATTTAGAGGTTTCTTACGCAAACGTAAAATTTTGTACCAGATATATACAAAAGTTGATAAAACAAAAAACAAAAAAACCGCATTTCTTCAACACTACTGGGTGCAATTTCATTACATCTTCACAGGAATGATCAGTACCTAGAGATCTACAAATGTAGTTATGCATATCATCGACATAGGACTTTAATTATTTAATTATTTTTAAGATTTGGATACAACGTATGCAATTTCAATGAAATTTTACATGATTAATTAGTAGCCCAAGTTAAAATGTTCATGTTATACAGGTTTTTCGCTTGAATAAATTTTAACAAAAAAGGTGTTGTGGCCTATTTGTTTGTTGTTTTTTTTTGCTGCCACGTAGAAGCTTATCTAGACTACTACTCAGAAACTACTGGTGAAGTTTCATTAAAACATTACAGGAAAGATCAGTACCAAGTCTTATTGCACACGCATTTTTCGTTCAATGAGTTATGACCCTTTAATATTTTTTCATTTTGTAAGTTTAGTCTGGACTACTTCTCTTCACTACTACTAATGAAAATGAAATGAAAACTTTTCGGGGTTGATTGGTACCTCGGATGTATATTTTTGGTCCCAGTTGGTACAAAAAGTACTTACACGGTTTTCCGGTTGAATATTTTGTTATTGTATTATGGACCTTGAATAAAAATTAACAACAAGCATTTACCTGTAAATGACTTTTATGTATCTGCTGCTTAAAGGAACTCCACTGAGGTCCAAAGGCATAAAGACATAACATTTGAAATTCTTAAAAATATCAAGTGGATCAAAAAATGGTAATTTCTGCAAAGGATAACAAAGATATATATATTTAGAATTGAATTGAAAAACGATTTTCTGTGCTATTCTTAGCTGAATTTATGTGAAAAGCGTTGCAACGCCTTGCATTTCTGGCCATTTTGCGCAATAAAAATGATTATTATGGACAAAGACTGAAAATTTGCACACAAGTTATTAGCCACATTCATCAAATTTACACCATCTTGGGAAAATGTTCCCAGTCCCGATACGTAAAAAATGATGCATTGCAAAATGATATCAGTTTGGGCATAAGACGTCATATTGAGTATCTATCTGGTTAATAAAGGATGTAAATCTGCGTTGCACTCTAGCAAACTCCTCGCAGCAGTTACAAGTTATAAGTACACTAACCACTGCCACCAAGGGTGTCACATGACAGTTTGATCATTTTTATGCCCCAGCCATGTAATGGCCGGGGCATATAGTGTTACCCTGTTCCGTCATTCCGTCCTTCCGTCATTCTGTCATTCCGTCATCATCAGTTTCCGTTCATTATCTTAAGAACGGTTGCACACATTCAACTCAAATTTGACATATAGATATGTCATGACAAAATACAGGTCAAATTCGAATTTGGTCATGGTTCGATGATTTTTGGCAGAGTTATGCCCCTTTTACTTTGAAAATAATATGGAATTTCAGTTTCCGTTCATTATCTCCCCAACGGTACAACACATTCAACTCAAATTTGACATATGGATATGTCATGAGAAAATACAGGTCAAGTTCGAATTTGGTCATGGTTCGATGATATTTGGCAGAGTTATGCCTCTTTTACTTTGAAAATAATATGAAATTTTCAGTTTCCGTTCATTATCTCCCCAACGGTACAACACATTCAACTCAAACTTGACATTTAGATGCGTCAAAGGAATGCGCAGGTCAAGTTCAAATTTGGTGATGGTTCAATGATTTTTGGCAGAGTTATGCCCCTTTCACTTTGAAAGTAATATGAAATTTTCAGTTTCCGTTTATTATCTTCCCAATGGTACAACACATTCAACTCAAATTTGACATATGGATATGTTTTTGGAATGCCCAGGCCAAGTTCGAATTTGGTCATGGTTCAATGATTTTTGGCAGAGTAATGCCCCTTTCACTTTGAAAATAATATGAAATTTACAGTTTTTGTTCATTATCTACCCAACAGTGTTACATTTTCAACTTAAATTTGAC